GATAATTTCTGGTGCATTGCATTAATTTGGTTACAATGCGATTCGGTATTGATGGCTTCTCCAGGATTTAAGAAGCTGTAGTATATTAAACGAAATGAAGCCCACCAAACAGTAACAGTTAGTTACCTTTTTTTGATGAGTTGGGGGCTTTGGAAAATGTTCTGCTGCTTCTCCTTTGTCTAATGTGATCGTTAAGTATCCACTTTTCATCACAAGTAACAATTCTGGACAGAAAAGGGCCGTTTTTATTTCAGCAAAGAAGTATAGCACAGACTTCATTACGTTACAGACTGTTTTTTTTTGGCGGTCATTTAATGTATGTGGAATCCAACTATCAAGCTTTTTTAGCTTTCCAATCGCCTTGAGGTGGTCATCGACGGTCGATTTGCTAAGGTTAAGTTTTCCTACAAGTTCTCGAATAGTTGTTCTGGCGTCTTCTTCCACCGAAGTTTGTAGACCATCATCATCAAGAGAGGAAGTCGTTTCACTACCTTTGTCTTCAAAGCTGAAGTCTCCTCCCGAAATTTTTCGGAGTCACCGTTGAACAGTGCACTCATTAACGCTGCTCTCGACCCAGACTTGGGCCCCATTCTGGCCGATTTTAAACCCGTAAAACAAAATTATACTAAAATCACGCGTTAAGCAGCGAAATGCTACAGAGGTAAATAAACATTATCGTTTGGAAGAGGATTGATAAATGTTGACATTCATACAAATACAAAGATCAGGAAACGTAAACAGTTTGTTATATGGAGGGATATTTTAAAGAAAACTGAAAATCCAGTATTATTTTCAGGACAATCCATATTAGGACTGGACATTCACGGTTATTTTTATACATTTTCTTCAATCTCACCAACTTCTCGGCTACTCTCAGTTCAACCATGATTTTCCAAATAAAGTTTTCGTTCACGGAATTAAAAGTTACTTTGAAATCAATAAATAGTGGAGTATCATCCTGAGCTACTTCCCGTCATTTTTCGACCATTTGTTTTAGGGTGAAGGTTTGGTCTATCATACTCCTTCCTCTTCTGAATCCAGCTTGATGGTAATTATCTTGTATGCCACAGGAAGGATTGCTATGCCTCTGTAATTACTATACTGATATATGGAGCCTTTCTTTAGGATAATGTAGATTAGGGCCGTGCTCAGGTATCCTTTCCTTCTCCCGTATTTTATCGATTAGTTGAAATAGCTTGGTAATAATTTTTCTTCCCCACCTTCAAACAGCTCTAGTTGTAGGCTGTCGATCACTGGGGTCTTTCTCGTTTTAAGGCTTAAGGGTTAAAGGTTCCGATAGGTATACTATATATATCTTGAGGGTCGAGATCCTGAAGAGAATATATATATATATATATATATATATATATATATATATATATATATATAATATATATATATATATAATATACTATATATATATATATATATATATATATATATATATATACGTATACATATGAACGTAAACAGTTTCAGTAGTCCATGCGTGATAAGGGAGAATGCGGTTTCTAGTCAAAAAGTCAACTCGTTCTATTGTTAATTCAAATCGCCATGAGCGAATTTGGCCTAAAGATTGAGAAACATAAAACACTACGGCGAGCTAGCGATGGGTTAGTATTTTTATCTATTGCATTATGACAATCACACATGACGCTATCTATCGCAGTGAGCTAATACATAACCCTCCTTTGTGGCTTCATCGTAGTCAGATAAAAAAGTTACTGATCGCCGCTAAAGATCTTTTTCTGTGTGTCTTGAGTCTTCATTTTCAGCATTTCTTTCACGGTTTATTCTTAAGTAGATGCATACCTTTATTGTTCCTCAAAATTACGATAAATATTATTTTATGATTTTTTCTTCTGCATATATATATAATATATATATTCAGTCCCATTGGGCTTTATATTTCTTTCTCAGTACAGTTTCAAAAATTATTTATTGAAAAACTAGGAACTGTTACAAATATATTTTTACCCGATCGAGGAATTTCAAATATTAAGATTAAGAAATTCATTTGAAGATACAAATAAAGTTTATTTCTACCATCTTTGGAAAACTTATATTAACTTACACTTTTAAAATAATTGTATTAAGGATTTAACTACCCAGTTAAAAACTAGCTAAGTCAGGATTATGTGAACTAGTGCAATAGAGGTATTATTAGAAATATATTACTGACTAAAAATTTATCAGAGAATTAATCATCTTTAACAATAAGTCGTCCTAATGGTAATATATCATTGTTAATATTAGCTAGAATCAAGATATAAAATTAAAAAATAACAAGAATTTAAAAAATAATATTTTAAACATAAGCATAGATGGAAATTTATTCAAAAAATATACTAAGGTACAAGATATTATTATTTTTTTAAATACACCCCTCCCTCTCGATCCACACATTTCATTTCCTAAAATCGTAACGTTGCTGACAAAATTACCCGGTTTCTATACTAATTACAATAAATGTACAACAAGTCACCATATTTATTAAAAATTATTTCAATAAACGATTTTCATTTGAAAAATTAAATAACTTACAACTAACCACCTTACAAATAAAGCTTTGAAGACTATTAACAACGTCAATAGCAACGTAAAATACTGAAGCTGAATACGTTCGCATTTCAATGATTTCCAATTCAATAATGTATTGTAACTATAGCATGCGATTTCAATGTTTCTAGAGGCATTAGTATAAAATAAAAAAAAAATTAACGAACTATTATGTCTTACCAGTTACCACTTATCTTTGAAACAAACGGAACAGAGGGATTTTAATGGGGGTATAGTAGGTATAAGATATAGTGCCACACTATTTTTTAAAAGTAAATTAGTATTAATTAATTGTGTTAATAACCCTAAATTATGATTTGAAAAATGTAACAAATTCAACGCTATGAAACCTTATAAAATTTTTTTTGTTTTGTTCTAGTTTTAACAAATTATAAAAATAATGTGATACGACCAAATTATAAATTAAACTTTCAACAATACATCCTTTTAAATACTAAACTTGAGAAGAACTACAGCTGTTAAGCTGGGGATCAATGCCCTTCAGCAGGTAGACATGAGACCTTCTCTTTTCAAGGTAAAAGAAACAATATTTCTCTACTTAGAATAAACCTTGAATTGAATTTAAAAAATTGACTCACCTCGTAATGGACTAATTTAATTGATGTTTATATCCAAGGGCACAATACGGAGAGCCATACCGCTATCATCAGGCAGAACACCACTCAACTAAAAGGTACAGAAAACTGACTAGTCGGGGTAGTTCACTTTGCTGCGTGTCAACTACCTGCTTCATGGCTGCCATCTGCTGGAACTGCAATTCACTACAACCGATCAGGAACATCGTTTTCTTTCCTTTTTTTTTTATAAGTTATAATTTTAAACGATAGTAATTGTTTATCCTCTTGCTGTGAAACAAACATTTCACAGGTTTAATTAAATAATAATCATTATTGTTCTTTAAGATGTATTTTTATTCTGTTTACAGCAGCTGGGATTTAATACATAATGCACAGCTCAAGACCCACATCTAATAGAAAAATATGTATTTTTTTTTAATTATTAAAGATAAATGGAAATAAAATGTTCTTTTTTTAATCAAAAATTTAAAATTATCATATTGTATAAGGAAATTCGTCTTTAAATAAAAAAACAACTCCAAATTTTAAGTATGAACATCTAATCACCCAAAGCCCACTTTTAAAACTTCATATAACAAAATAGTTCTACTTTTTTTCAAAAACTAACACTTTACTATCCAAGTATTGAAACTGTTTCTCTTTCTGGTTGTCAAAAACACACCCTTAAACATCACTCCATTTTATCTACTAAAATCTAAACAGATAACTTTTTATGTTCTAATTTTAATTATAAATTTAAATATAAATTAATTATTTGTGAATAATTTTGAATATTATGAAAACAATTTTTTATTCAAATTAAACTTTATGAAACTGAAAATATCAGTAAAATTATTGTTTTAGTTAATATTGTTGTAGGGAGGGATTTTCGAGCTGAAGTCCCCTCAAATTGTAAAATATAACCATATTTTATGGAAAAAAATTATCTCTTAAACTTTATTGTTAGTGTAATTACATTTAATAGGACTTCAAGCCACACTTAAGCTTAATCTAATAGCTACTTTCTGTCTTTAGGTAGGTTTTTACTTGTTTATATTGCTTGAATCTTAAATTAGCTATGGTGTTGGTTCAATTCTTTAATAGCTATGCCTTGCAGTTTTTATCTTAATATGTAATGCTTTGTACCATCATTGATCATTTTCATCAAACTATTTCATTATAATTTTAAAATATTATTAAATATTGTGAATGAACTATTTGTTCATTATTACCAGTGTCCTAATTGTGACAGAATATAATACTAATTAATAAATGAATTCCAAATTTAAAAAATATATAGGTATATGATCATTTTGTTTAGAATAAACAGAAAAACTTTCTACTTCCATTTTATTTTCATTTTCCTATGAAATATATAGTAAGGGAAAGTATTAAAATAGGGAAAATTTTCTAATTCAAGTTTTTAATGGTAATACACATGATGATGTCCTGAAGTCCAAATAACCAGGTCTTGCAAAGTGGTCTGTATGTGTAAGCGTCTGTTAACAGCAAAATAAAAAGTAGTTCAATATGTAAATTAAGGTATGTATATGTCTATAATGTAACAGTAACTTTTTTGTCAAATTAAGTTAACCTGGAGTACAACTCTACATCATTAATTTTCCACATTATGATTTTTTCAAAAAGCGATCTAACAATTTTTATTTAACTCATTAAGCCAAAGTACAATTAAATAGTTTTTAATAGGCAAAAAATAAGGGATCTAGTTTTAATAGCAAGTATTTAAAGATTTAATTATTTTTAATACATTAAAAAAAAAGAAGAGAAATTTATTTCATCATCAGGATGTTTAAATTATTTAACAAAAACATTTTAATTTAACAAATATCTTTATTTATGTTTTCCAGCTAACATTTCTAATAAATTTTATTATATACTTTTTAGTAATAATAAAACATATTTCATTATTTACAAATGAATTGACATTATTGAAGGAATATTAACAATTTCTGTTTTATAGATCAGAAATTATTTAAAATATCCATATTTTGACTTTATTAAATATATTTTATACACATTAAGTCCTATAAATACTCATAATCTAATTACTACTAACAGTACTGTAAAACAGAGGAATTTCGCACCTCAAGAGGTAACATTACTCTAAAATTAGAATCACTTATTTCTTTCCAACTTCGATACGTTTTCCTTTTTGCTTCTTAGAGAACCTGACTAACAGCTGTTTTCATAGAGAAACCATTCTCAAGGCTGTCACTCTATAAGTTTTTGCTAACCTTATAAAAAAAATTATTCTAGCTTGAGGGCAATTTAACCCCAAGAAGTAAATTACCTCTGTTTTATAGTAATGGAAAATGATTAGTTATATATGTACTTAAAAAATAGTGATACCAGGATTTCTCAGTTGTAAAAAATGCAATATTTAACAACTATTTCAGATTCAATCAGAACAACAAATATTTTAGAACCAAATGGTCCCATTTATTATTTTATTATAAAAAAATTATTTAATTGACGATGAATAAATTCTAATATTAAAAATTAATTTTTTATTCAATAATTTTCAGTCATATGAAAATATAACAAATAATAAATTAACAATAAATATTTAATGTAGCAACCTTAATCATCTAAACAAAGATACTCAACCCACATATAGAAAGACTATTATTAAGGAACCAAGAAAATAAATATAAAACAAAAAATTCACTTTTTGTTGACAACATAAATAAAAATAATTTGTGTAAAGTAAGCTCCTTCACAGATCTCTTCTTTTGATTACCCTTTATCAATAAACAGTATCATACTAACCTAGTCTTATTGGATATTCACATGACGAGAAATGTTTATTAGTAAAAAGCAAAGCTCAAAAATCAATAGCTTAATCTAACATTTACAATTCTCTGAACAATACTTTTTCAGTCGAGATTGCCACAAAATAAAATCAGGATATGTACAAAGTAAATACAAGAAAAGCACAAAGGCCTATAAAAGTTGTGAAGCATCCCACAGCTTAATCATTCGATCTTGTCCAATAGTAAGAAGTCTTTTTTGACTTTCATCCAAATCCATCCATGCAATAGAATGTTTTGCTTCATGAAAGCTAGCTAGGGAGACATTCCTAAAAAAATAAAAAGTTGGAAAATTAAACTATAACTATCAGTTTGTAATTATATTCCTTTAAAAATAGATGATCTTATAGTTATTTAAATTTCACTGAAATAAAATAAGCTGTCATTGACAAAAAAAATAATAAGTTGAAGATTATATAAAAAAGTTCAATTCAGATTGTTAGGATAGGGTAAAATACAGAAAAAAATGTTTGAATTGAGGATTCCAATTGGAAAAAAAAAAAAACCTTTGCCAGAGATAATTGGAATGAGAAATTTCTGGAAGAATAAAGAAATCATCCAGCACTGCAGAAGGCAAGGACCTAAAAAGGGTACTCATTTTAGGAGAAGGTTTGAATGTCAATTATGAAAGTGTATCTTATTTTAAGTAAAAAGAACCTTGTCTGCCAATCCAGAGCCAATGCATTAAAAAATGGTGGCTGATTTGAAAAATATTAGGCCAGTAACTTGAAGATCAGAAATTAAAGAACGTTATATTGTGCATCAAATGAATACTAAAACTTAATTATTTGTCTAAGTGGGATAGTCAAAAACCAAGATCAAAGAATGACGATCTTTTTCCAGATTTATCCAAAACTTAGACATATTACTGAACATGACTCTACAGCTCGGAAATTAGTTCTCTAAGAGAAAAATCTCAGAATAAAAGTTGTAGAGCATCTAATTCTACAACCAGTGAGTACCAACATTTTTAATGTAGAGAAAATTCAGTTTCTTTTGAAACATTGTTTCTCAAAATCTCTTGCAAAATAAGAGGTGGAAAAGAGATATGTAGAGCATATATCATATTCTATACAAGAATAACTCATTAGACTAAACACTTATACTATTGAAATATTAAAAATAACATGTACCTTCATAACCAATTGCCAGCCATTGGGAGATTAGCAATTTTGAGAGGAGTAATTAACCTACATTAAAAATGTTGGTACTCACTGGAAACAGAATTTGATTCTATACAACTTTATCTCCATGAGCTTTTTCTCTTAGATAATTTAGTTCCAAGCAGTATAGTAATTTATAATAATACGTCTGAGTTATGGATAAATTTGGTAATAATTAATTCTTTGAACATGGTTTTCAACCATACCACTTAGCCAAAGTATTAACCTTAGGTACTCATCCTACTCACAATTTAACATTCTTTAATTTCTTAAAGAGTAAGTTTTTCATTTAGTATTTTGGTTTTTTATATGTTTGAACCCATACAACCAAGCAATTTTCAACTTGCTCCCTTTTGATCCTCAAGTTACTGGCCTTATGTTAATGAATAAGCTGCCATTTTTCAAAACAATGGCTATGGAATGGCAGACAAGATTCATTTTATTTAGAATAACATACACCTTTATAGTAAACATTCAAACCTTCTCCAGGAATGACTCTTTTTAGAATCCGGCTCTACGGCTAATACGAAATGATCCTAGAAGGCTTGCTAACAAAAAAATTTGTAAATTTATTAATGGACTATGATAGAGAACTACATTATTTACTAATCAGAAATTAAAAATAATAATGATAAAATACAAATAAAAACTAACTCCTGAGCTTTTAGATGAAGATGGCAGGGTCCACACACCCTGACAGGAAATTCAAATCCAAGACTGGGTATGGCAATTGTAGGGTTAGAGCAGGAGTCACATACTGCACGCCCACAAGCACGGCAATGATGCTGTCTGAGGCCTAATGTATGTGTTTCAACCATCGCTCTTAAATTCCAGAAAAAAGGCTTCATGCAAATTTGGCAGGTATCTGACTCAACCCATTCTGGAGTCTAAACAAATAAAGCAATCTGCATAAAACAAATGAACTTTCAAACATTTAATGGATAACAAATTAGAAATGAATAATCAGGTACCTCTTTTCTTTGTGCTGTCATATCCCAAAAAATAATCACAGCATCTTCTCCACCAGAAATTAACTGCTTCTTAACAGAGGCATAGCATAATGAAGTAACTTTGTTTCTGAAAAGAAAAATATTATGGCTCATAAAACTTAGCTCATAAACTTTCTAAATCCATAAAGAAACAAAATAATAAGCTGACAAATAAATGATTATAGAAATGTAAATCGGAGAAAAAAAAACATTCAATGAAACGAAAATTAATTTAGTCAAAATATAAAGGCTGTTAATACATTAAATGACTACAGAAAAACATGAAACATGGATAGTTCTAAAGCTGCTATATCCTATAAGGATAGATTAAAAAATAATATGAGTATGCTCTAACTTCATAAACATAAGTATTCCATCTTGATACTAGCAACAATAAAAGGTATGTTTCTAAACATGACATAAACTACCCCCTTAAAATTTTCAAAGCTATCCTCTTTATGTATTGAACCTTTAACATATATAAGTTCTTACAGAAAATTGAGTAACAGAGTTTTCAAAATATTTATTTAATAACTCGCTAAGAAATTATTTATTCTTCCAGTTAAATAATACCAATTTCATTTAACAGATCAGTTATGTGTATCCAACTATATAATTTTTACTTTACTTTTATTATTTATTGTTGTTGGAATTTTATATTTTTGTCATTTAATTGAGTTTTTTTTAATACACTATTTGTAATTAGACAAAAACAGTCTTTAAAAGATCATGACAGCTTGGGATTTCTGGGATTAGTGAGACTGAGGAATATGTGCATAAATGATCTTAAATATTGGAATGAATCATAAATAAATAAATCCTAGAATATAGCTGTTCCTGGAAGCAATTAAGATTACATTGAGAGAGTCGCTAAAACTCTAATAAGAGAAGCACAATAAATTGGCCTACAAATAAATGAAGATAAAACAAAATATATGACAGCAGATCGAAAAATCCAGTCCAACTACAATCTGCTTAGAAGGAAAATTGTTCCTTCCTAAAAGAGAATAGATTTAAATACATCGGCTCCACAATAACCTAAATAAAAAGACATTAGTCAGAAATATAGTACTACAAAAAGAACTTTCTTCTCTGTTTCGAAGGTTCTGATATTTCAAATTTAGTTTACAATACTATGATAAATCCAGTTCTGGTATATGACTGCAAGACATGGACATTAACAAGCACCCTAAAAAAAGTATTGAAAGATTTTAGAGGAAAATCCCTGAAGTGATCTGAGATCAGAATAGAAATACAAGGAGGAGAATGATTAACAAAGAATTGCTTAAAGAAACTGGCCAATCAATATCACATTATATGAAGGAAAGAACGTTAATATGGGTGGGACATATAATTCAAAGCAATCCATTAGGACAATCTGGAAATCCAAAAAAACAGTTGAATAAATAGAACCAATACAGATGTAGCAGAGCTGTATGCAACTACCTAAAAAGCAATATCTAGAGGTGGAGAAAAAAAAGCCGATCATTTAAAAGGTCTGTAAAACTAACAAAAAAAAAAATGAAATAGAACTAAGCATAGCGTGCTTCTAACTTTTGGCAGGAGATGGGAGGGGAAGAGCAGAAATAGCATCCAATTTTTGTTAAGGATATCTTGACAAAAATTATGTTAATGATAAAAACATAATTTTAGAATAAAAAAGAGGCTCGGAGATAACTCTCTCATAATTTGGGGTAGGAAGGCATACCACGCCACCATCCCTGATGCCATAGATGGCCCATATCAAAGATGACCTTCAGGTCACCCAAATCCAAATCCCACTCTCAGAACACCATCTAGGGTCAATCCATTTGAAATGATCCAAACCGTATTGCTCGGCATTTTTTATGTTAATAAATGTTTACTAGTTATGTCAAATGAAAATAAATATGTGTTAATGTTTAAAAGTATAAAAGGAAACATTTAAAAAAAAATAAAACATGAAAGTAATACAAACTTGCAATTAGCGACAAAAAAAAAGTAGCAATAGGAGACTGTATTTAAAGCGATAATTAATTGATAATATTAAACAAATTGAATAAAACGCAAATGAATATGAAATAATTAAAAATTTAAGAAATTGACACATAAAAAGCTAAATGGATTAAAAATATCTAAAGTAAATATATTAAAAATATGTGTGCTAATGTTTAAAAACATGGTGTGAGATATTTAGAAAAAAAATCTAAAACATGAAAGTAATAGAAAAATGAATCAGAAATAAAATAATATCAGCAATAATTTTTTATTTTAAACTAATTTACAGTAAAATAAATACAAAGGAAACGGATTAGAGACCTGTTCTACATTTAAAGTAGTTAATGGAGTTTTGAATTTGTTTCTGAAAAATTTAATCTATCGTAAAATATTTTAATAATAAGAAAATGATCATTCAACATCAACAGATGTGATGGGGCAAATTAATGTGCACTTTAAGTCATTAGCTAGTTATTTTCAGCAGATATTTATTTTGAACAATAACTTTCTTAATTTAAGCATTGATAAAAGATTTCAATGTTGAATAAAACGATTCACTTAATTTTAGCACTGAAAATATTAGCCTAGATAAAACAAGAAACAAAACTAGATTCAAAACTGAGTGCAATGTTTAAAATTATAAAATAGATAAGAAGGGGATATAAAAAGACAAGAGATGAAAAAAAATATTTTTTTTAAGAGGTCAGTAACTGAATTTGGTATTATTTAAGTGATCAGTTGCGTTGACTATTGATTGAAGATGGATCTCGGACTGTCAGGGATCGCATTGTCTAGGATATCTGAAATTTTATTATGAAATTCGCATTTTTTATACCTTTTTTTTTTTTTACTTGATTGAAACCATCAAATGTCCAGTCATATGCATTTATCATCAAATATACTAAATAAAATTGGTTATTAACAACTGAGAATACTGATGTTCTCAGATACTGATGTATAAAACTATTCGAAATTCATGCAAACAAAATAGGCTAGAGACAATCACTTTATTATCAAAAAAGGGTGCTGCCCAATTACATTGGGTTGCTTTAAACACAGCATACTTATTATTCGCTACAGACAATTTTCCAAAACTAATATACAATTATATAGTATTAACAATATGTATGAGTATAATATACATTTTTTTTTTATTATCTATATATATATATTTTTTATTATAATTTTTTTTCCTATATTTTTATTTTTTTTTATTTATTTATTTTATTTTTACTATTTCTTTCATTCATTTATTAGCATTATACATTCCTTTCTGTTCCTTCTCTCACCTTATACATTTTTCTCATTCCCTAGATTTTCTCCTCTCTTATCCTAACCTAATTCATAAAAAATCTTTTCATCCTTATAATTGATGAGTTGACTACTTAATCATCACTAAAGACAAAGGATTAGGTTTTCAAAAACAATTTTAGATATTCATTTACTAATTTTAATGCAGAACATGTCATTTATTAATTCCTTATTCATTGACATTTTCTTTATTTCATCCATGTCAATTAATTTTTTATATTAATAATTGTACATTTATAAATGTTAATAAGTATCTCATATCATGTTTTTAATTATTAACAATTATGTATTAATTTGTAATCTAACTGCTTTCATATTCATTTGTTTTTTTTAACTAATATGAATTAGTTATTATGTTCACATACAATTACCTGTTACTGGTTTTATTTGTTACTAATTGGAAGTTTGTATTACTTTGATATTTTAATTCTTAAAAAATATTTCAGATTATATTTTTAATCATTAATAAATATCTCTTTCTTTTTCGTTTATTACATTATGTTTTAATTATTTTGGTTTTAAAAAAAAATATTATTTTTAATGCTTCCAGTAATTTCTTTTTTAGTTCAGAACTTTTTGCAAACACTTCAGTAAAGGTGAATATTTTAGCTGCATATTTGTAAATTTGGTGATTTTTAGTTGCATATTTTATGATTTATTACTACTTATTTGACTGTTTTTAATGGTATATTACATAGCATATTTATTGGGTTTTTATTTCATAAAATCCTGGTCTCTGGTTAAAAGTAATTGTTTTAGTCACCAAATTCGTACAATTTGTTCCTATCATAAAAAGAAATATAGAGTATCAGTTTCATATTTTTTATTCAGCCTCATTTATGATATTCCATTTTAAAAATCACCAAAATCGACTTACGGCTGTTTTTGAAACTTGTACTTCAGCATGTAGTACACTGATAGAAATATACATTCAAAAAAATCTCAAAGGCGAGTCTCTACAGTTGGAGAGTCAATTACACTTTTACAGTGCTATTTCTCTCCTTTTATGTTAATGCACATTATTTTTTCTAAAGCAACTTCTTTCCATCATACTTGATGTATTGAAAGATAAAAAACTTAGAAAATATCATCATTATTATTTTTATTTTGGTTCAATATCTACAAATTTATCGGAGTAAACTACATTTTCCCAAAACATGTTTTAAGTATAAAGCAAATTCTAAATGGTCAGAAAGAAAAAAAAAAGTATGAGTTTTAAAATTTTTTAACCATAGTTTTGAACTCGCTATATTAAATAGGGAGTAAAAAAAAAAAAAACCTGTATTACTACAACCCAAGAAGGGTCTCTAGTTCAATACTTGTTTGTAAGGAAGTACTGTTTCAACAGTTGTACAGGGAGGTGGGTGATCATACTCAATTGCCAGCTTTCCTCCCTTAATTGATTAAGAGTACCCACTTCATACAGGCTAGGTATGCCAAAGAGGGTCTCCACCCCAGGGTGGATCCACGGCTGATGTAATAGAATAAATAATTACATGCCATCATCAGCTTGATTCGAACCCAGGACCTTCAGCTTAGGAAGCAGGTGCTTCACCTACTGACTTACCCCGCTCCCTAAAATAGGGAATAACTGGTAAAAAAGTTATAAAAATAAAAAATTTTAAGCATAAAAGTATCAACCCATTTTAAAATTATTTCAAATAAATTGACCTTCTCATATTTAGGGAACAAGTAGTAGTCACACGATGCAAAATCACAGCAATTGAATTTAAGGTAAAAAATCAGGGGAAAAAATATGTTTTTAATAATTTTATTTAATAAGTCAAGTTTTTGCTTGGAAATGACTTTTCCGCATTGTCCAGTACAAATAAATCTATTTTGGCAGACTCCTTCAAGGATATCAGAGCTATCTCTGAGATAAGATCTATATAATACTGAATTTGAGTTCATTCTCAATACTTCTAAAAATGGGCAAGTTCCAAAACTCAGCACTGAACTCATTGATGGCAACAAATCCGTCCCCAAACTAGGCTAAACAATGGTATCGATGAGCTCAGTGTTGAGTTTGGAAATTTGACCAATGCTACTAGTTTTTATATCTGCCCTTTTTCTTCTTTCTTGTATGTAGTTTCTTCATTAAAAAATTATTTCATATTTTACTATAAACATTTCTTTCGTATAAATTAGTGTTTTATTTGGATAAATTATTTGTAAAGTGTGTTTTTATTTTATTATTAACTAAAAGAGGTATAGTTTTAATCATATATTTTTTTAAGACTTATAAGTTAAAAAAAAAATCTTATCATGTGATAACCCTGTCAAAATCCCTTAAATAAATTTGTTTACAATATATGTCTCAGCAAAAGAATATGGCAAGAATCTCACTAAATAAATAGCTTATTAATTTAAATTTATTCTAAAAAATCTAATTTTTTATACTTATAATCAGTTCTATACTATACTAATAACTAGTATAGTTATTTTAATCTTTTCTTTTTAATAACTAAAAGATTGAATTGAAAATATAAATAACAAATATGTAATGAATAAAATTCTCACCTATGTCCTTGAAGTTCATAGGCTGTACCTTGTTGACCACCTATATCCCAAACGATCACAATGTGATCAAAGCTACCTGAAAACAACCTTTGTTCTGCAGGATCCCATTCAAGAGCTCTTATGCTTCCAGAATGACCTTTCAATTTAGTAATCTCTTGAACACCATTTTCAGAAAGTTTTAACATTGTTATGCATCCAGAGTAATCACCAACAAAAGCATGTTTTGATTGTGAATCAAATCTACATTAATTGTAAAGGACATAATAAAATAAAAATTTAAATAACAATTTGATGTTGAAATATAAAAACTAAATTTCTAGAGCGATCATTCATGAAAGTATACAACAGTATAATTCGTAAACTATACAACAGCATATTAATATTGACACAAAACAACATGTTCAGATTGACACAACCCTTTTTTTTTTCTTTAAATTCTTTTTTTCATTTTTTTAGAAAACAGACGCAATGGGGTTCCAGAACCACGAATTCTCGTGGCCGAACCCTGCTGTCTGCACTCAATTCCCAACGTTTTCACCTCCTTTTCCCCAACTCTCCTACCTACTGGCCCACAGATCCCAACCGTAATCCTGATCTTCTTGATTTCTTTATCCACAGCGGCTTAAGTCCCCTCAATTGTTCCATTACACGTCTAAATGAACTTTCCTCTGACCATAGTCCTCTAATCCTTAATGTTTCACTTGAACCTTTTCCCAAACCTTCTCCACCGTCATTCATTAGGGGCCCAGTAAACTGGGACCTTTTCCGCCAAATAATCTCCGATAATATTGATCTCAACATATCCCTCAAAACTCCCGATGACCTTGATAGTGCCGTAAATTCCTTTACTACCACAATCCAACAAGCCGCCTGGACTGCCTCCTTCCCAAAAGACTCCTCCAGAATTCCTATAAAGACCATTCTACCCCAACACCTCCTTAACCTAATCCGCACCAAACGCCGTGCCAGATTATTATGGCAACGTACCCGACATCCTACCGACCGCTGCTCCTATAATTACTACTGCAAACAATTAAAACTGGAATTAGCCACCTTCAGATCACAATCCTTCAACTCCTACCTATCCTCCCTCTCTTCTCGCGACAATTCCCTTTGGAAAACCACAACAAAAATCCTAAATCCTCACCGCATTTCCCATCCTCTCCAACGAGGTGATGGCTCCTGGGCAGCATCTGACGAAGATAAAGCTGAGGAGTTCGCCATTCACCTATCCAATACATTTATTTCACATCCGGAATCCCATCCTGCCCACACCGTAAAAGTAGAAGAACTCCTTACATCACCAATCCCACTTTCCTTGCCCCCAAAAGCTATTCATCCTTCCGAAGTAAAATTTCAATTAAAAAAACTAATCCCCCGTAAAGCTCCTGGACATGATCTCCTTACACCTCAAATCCTTCGACAACTTCCATCAAAAGCAGTCATATTCCTTACATATATCTACAATTGTATCCTACGCACCACCCACTTCCCTCTGTTATGGAAACACTCCACTATTATCCTTTTCCCAAAACCAGGAAAACCTCTCAATAGTTCAACATCCTATAGACCAATCAGCCTACTCCCAATCCTTTCAAAAATTTTTGAAAAGATCCTTTTGAAACGAATCCTACCCATTATAGAATCCCAAAATATCCCTTCCCATCAGTTTGGTTTTCGCTCTCAACATTCTACTGTTCAACAAGGACTCCGAGTTGTTGATCATATTTCCTCAGCCCTAGAAAACAAGGAATACTGTTCGGGTGCCTTTCTGGACATTGCACAGGCATTTGACCGGGTATGGCACTCCGGACTGCTCTCCAAGCTTAAAATCCATTTACCTCAGTCCTTGTACCTAGTCCTCCGATCCTACCTCTCTGACCGCTCCTTTCGAGTTCGCTGTGGAACAGAATTTTCCAATATCTACTCCGTTAAAGCCGGTGTTCCCCAAGGCAGCGTCTTGGGTCCCGTGCTTTACATCCTCTTTACTGCTGACATCCCTGTTCATCCCGATACTTTTCTTGCAACATTCGCTGACGACACCGCAATCTTATCATCCAACTCTGATCCCGAAATAGCATCCTTAAATCTCCAAAGTCACCTCACCTTGATTGAGCACTGGTGTAATAACTGGCGCATTAAAGTTAATGAATCTAAATCCCAACATATTACCTTTACACTCCGACGCAATTCCTGTCCACCAGTACTCTTTAATTCCATCCAGCTTCCTTACTCAGACACAGTCCGGTATCTTGGCTTTCATTTAGACCGAAGACTAACTTGGAACCCGCATACTAGACTCAAAAGACAAGAACTCAACCGACGATACGGCCAACTATACCGACTACTAAGCAGAAAATCTAAACTTTCCATTGAAAACAAGCTACTGATCTACAAGACAATACTGAAACCTATTTGGACTTACGGACTAGAACTGTGGGGATCAGCAAAATTTTCTAACATCAAGCGCATCCAATCCTTCCAGTCTAAAGTCCTTCGAACAATAGTCGATGCTCCTTTCTATGTATCCAACAATACCCTACATCATGACCTTAACATCCCATTTGTCCTAGACCTTATCCCAGAAAAATTCTCCAAATTTCACCAGAACCTTACTTACCACCCAAATCCTCTTGCACAATCCCTATCAAGCATCTCCCATCCCTATAATCCTCCAAGAAGGTTGAAACGGCAGTGGCCTCGCGACCTTTTGTAGATTGTATAAATTGGAGTTCTGGCAATGGCCAGATTCTTCACTCAAGACATGTGTGTATGTGGCTAAAGTGCTCTCGACCAATCTCCGCTGGCTTTAGTACTAGTGACGCGATTGGGAGAGTAGCGCAGGGTTCTCCAGGAGTTCCCTCGCCGGATTGTATATAGGTATGCATGTGTTTTTTTTTCTTAGTTTTAATTTTCTTATTTTTTTAGGTTATTTTATTTTATTGTCTATTGTATATACTTTTGATTATTATTTTGTTCTATTTATTTTATTTTTTTGTACATATGGTGTGAATGTCATCCTACCTCACTATAACCAATGTCCAACAGACAGATTGTTATAATACTCAATAAAGAAATTTAAAAAAAAAAAAAAGAAAAGAAAACAGATGCAGTTTTCTGAGTATGAAAAGTACCTTCCTAAATCGGCAAAAAGCAGCCATTAAATTTGGATTGTGGTGAATGAGTCCAAAACAAAGTATGTGCTCTGCAATCTTAAAAGAGGAGACATATGTAGGAGAGAGAATACAAATCGGAGACTTAAACTTCGACTTTGTTGAGTAATTTATTTAGCTAGGGACACTTTTGAACTCAACCAATAATATGCAACCAGAGATTCAGTGGCGGATTATGGCAGCTTATAGATTCTATTATGGGCTCAAGGTCCATACAAAAAAAAATCTCTCTCTCTAGGACCTCCAACAGACGAATCTATAAGACCCTAATCAGGCCCATCCTCAAGTATTTATCTGAGTACTGGATGATGAAGAAACCACTAGAGTCATCTCTACTGAGTGTATCACTGGTGTATGGAGATAGAGGAAAAACTCTGAGCTTATGAATCTGAACAATAACCTTGATATCGTCCTTATAATGAAGTCTGGACGTCTAAGATGATATAATGATGGTGTACAGACAAAAAGAAAGGTTGAGTAAGTTCCAAATAAATCAAACTATATATTTTCAACAATGTGCATCACGTGTTTTTTAAAATTAATTCCAATTACATCAATAATTCTATAATAACCCATATTACATTGTCCCTTTCTATCGTGGCACATTTTTTGTTTCAGCCTGCTTTTTCCATCTTATCTCTCATGGATGGTTTTAAACGATCTAATATTGTATGCAACCTTCTGCCAAGGAACAATTCTGCTGGCATTTTTCCTGTTGAGCTGTGTATAGTAGCTCGGTACGCAAATGAAAAGTTTTACTGTTGGTTGTAAACATTTATTCGAAATTCCAATCTAAATTTTCTCTAAAATTCTGTCTCCTTCTGAAACCACAAATTTCAAATTTTTACTAATCTCAATAAAAATTTGTTCCATTCTTGTTTCATCCAATTTTTGTGTTCTTTAGCAAACTTTAGTTGCTTTTGCTTGTTGTAAGAGAGAAAAATGATTTTCTTCTGGCAACACATTTTTTAAGGCCTAATGATATGACTTTCCTTCTGATCAAGGAGGGCAAAACTTGGATTCTTGTAGTGCAAGATTTTTAGCAGTTGTGCAAACATAATAATTTTAAATGTTGTTCAACATCAGAACTGTGTTTTTTGGACCTGTCTGGATATTTCAAGCCTCTAGTTTGCTTGGTTTTTAACAACTTTTTGATGACATAATGAATTCCAGACATTATATCTGCATGATTAAATCATTTTACAATTAATTATCATTTTTATAAAAATTTGGTTTGTTTGAAGTCTTTTTCACACCACTGTAACTCTAACATTCTGTCTCCTTCTGAAACCACAAATTTCAAAGTTTTTACTAAATTTTATATCTGTTTTAATGGAAGTGTAGCTTAGTTTTTGTAATTTAAGTCACATTATGACTCATTTACTACTACAGGCAATATTTTTTGCTTATTTTCTGAAAAAAAAAACAACAACAACAATTTGTACATCATAACCTAGAAATCAGGGCAAAGCTAATAGCCCAGTAAACTTGTCATGAAAAGTGGAGTCTAAATTGCATCAAATGGGGGTAGGTTTCTTTTTTTTTTCTTGTATGGAGTGTGACTGAGATGCAAAATTCAAGTTTTCGACCTAGGCACCCCTTTGGATCACTTTTTAAAACCCTAAAATCTGATATATTTTAGATTTTACCCCATTTTGACCATCAAGCAGTACATTTTCGACAAAAAATATTCTATGCAATTTTAAGCATTAAACATACATAAAATATACTACAATTGAACACCAGAACAAGCTCAGTAAATCAAATGATTTACAAGATACAGATTTTCAAATTTTAAAAAATTGTCAGCTAATTTCTCTGTTTGATCATATCCACTTGTCTTTATATCTTCTATAACCTGTCTTATATGATTTAGTGAAGTAAATTTGAATCCATTTTAACATTTTGAAGGAGGGGTGAGGGAGGAGGTGGAAGGGTTGGTGGGAGACTCACCACTGAGTTGTGCAGGAAGAAGAATATCTGACATGTTATTGAAGATAAAAGACAATTGCGTATCATCAAACATGAAAAATAATTTAAATGGAAAATAAAATTGTTTAAAATTTGAAAATCTGTATCTCGTAAACTATTTGATTTACCGATCCTGTTCTGATATTAAATTGTAGCATATTTAATCAAAAATGTATAGAATGTTTTTTGTTGGAAATGTGATCCTTCATTCATGGATAAAATGGGGAAAAAACCGAAAAAAAGTGCGAAAATATAACAGCTTTTGGGAAATTCAAAATTGATCCAGGGAGGTGCCGAGGTCAAAAACTTGGATTTTACATCTCATTCATATCCCATACAATAAAATCAAAAGAAACCTTCTACTCCCATTCAATGCAACTTATGATGTACAAGGTTACTGGGCTAAGAGGCAAAAAAAAAAAAATGAATTTACAGAACCTAATTTTTTTTTCTTTTAAGACAAAAATTCAAGGGAAAGTAAGTGAGACATATATCTAATATTTTTCTATGTAAAGTCATTTAAAAAAAAATGGTTCAAATTGATGACTAATTGACTGTAGCCTAGCTGGTGCCTTGACTAAATTTCAGAAGAACAGGCTTCGCACATGGACAGCTAAATGTAGCCTATCTACGAATAAGGAAACCTCCAGATTTAATCATATATGGATCAGACGGTAAGACTGAAAGTATTTTTTATTCATAATCACTTCGAAAAAACAAATAAAAATGTATAAATTCCTCTTTCTAAAGATATGATTACATTAAATTGAAGGCTATGCAAAAGAACTAGCAACAGCTAGTTAACTATAATGTTTCTCATAATCACTTATTTATAAAATAAAAATATAAGGATACACCAGGGCGGTACACCAAGCTGAAGTTGAGTAAGAACCAAGATTACAAACAGATTCACTACAGTATAACTGAAACATCTTATCTCTGGCTATTGAAAGGATCCACTCACAGTCAAGAGCAAAATGTAAATGTGTAACTCGAGCTTGATGAGCCGATATATCACGGACATGATTTAATCTGTTGTAGTCATCAGCAAGCTTGAATTCCTATGAACAAGGTTAACATTATAATTTTACTGAAAATTAACAACTACTAATTCTGAAACATCATAGATACCTTTAAGGTTAATCTCAGTTTCCTATAAATACAACTGTCAAAAGTTCTAAACATTTAAATTTTAAAATATAACATAAAATGGTTGGTTTTCAAAATAAATATAATCTTAATTATAAAAGAGCATATTTTTTTGCAAATAGACTCTCTGGAATAGAGGTTGCAGTCCTGATAAACAAAGAAATAGTATAATATATTAATAATTTCTCTTAACCATACTTTACTATAATTAAATAAAGAATATATTATTGGTTTATTGCAAAAGTCACTAAGTACTTTTTTAATGGAACTAAACTTCTTAGTAAGTTTTTGCTAATTTTGAGGTTATTTATTAGTATCAAACACAGTTAAGAGAGAAAATACTGTTTGAATAATTTAATATCAATAAATAATTGTTTTTAAAGAAACACAACTATTTTTCCAGTTAATTACTTATTAAAATTTTAAAAATATTATAAAATATTTAATTTTAAAATTTCGTTAAGCAGCAATACTGCATTGAAGTTAACGACTACCAGGATTACTAGGGAAATCAGTCTGGGAGAATTAAAAATTACATTAACAAAGGCAAATAATAATAAGGCGCCAGGCCTTGATTCTGTGCCCTATGAATTCTTCAAAAATTCTCCAGAATGCGTTTTGTTGCAAATTGTTAAGATATTCAATGATTATTTTAATACTGCAAATATTCCACATACCTTCACTGATTCGGTCGTTTACCCATTATTTAAAAAGGAAGATGTCCATATAGAAGAAAATTATAGAGGTATTTCCTTCATTAATGTGATTACTAAACTATTCACGGGTGTTTTATTGGACCATTTGTGGAATTGGGTGAACACAAACAAAATTTTAAATAATTTTCAAACGGGATTTCGACCTGGCTACTCAACTGTGGACCACATTTTCACTTTGTTCAGAATCGTTAAACTGATTGTAGCAAAAGAACGTCGTAAAGTTTATGATTTCTTTGTAGACTTTAAACCAGCCTTTGATTGGAATGAAAGGTTGTTTTTTAAGTTTAAGATGATTGTTTTTTAAGTTGACTAATTTGGGGATGTCACATAAATATCTTAAAAAGTATGTATTTAAAGACTAAAGCGATAGTATATAACAAGGAAGGGCTTAATAATTTTTTTTAAACCTCAGTAGGACTAAGACAGCGCTGTCTGCTAAGTCCTTTACTTTTCGCACTTTTCCTACAACTATTCGCATGAGAATCTGGATGAAGAATTAGAAATTGCAGGCATCAACATTAGGTGTTTGCTGTACACTGATGACGTTGTAGTGCTAGCCCCATCCCCAGTAAAATTACAATGGATGATAAGCAGCCTGGAGAGTTATGGCCGAATGTGGAATCTGCAGATAAACCTGGCAAAATCTAAAATAATAGTTTTCCGCAATGGTGGCAGGTTATCCAAATTTGAGAATTGGAAATTCGGTGGAAACCCAATTGAGGTGGTCAACAAATATAAATATCTCGGTGTAATAATTACCTCTAGATTGGCCTTGAGACGTTATTTTGCAGAAAGTCAGCCATACAAAGTTTGGATTGAACTCTGCTAGGCATAATTTTATGGCTTATAAAAATGTCCCCTATACATATAAATTAGAAGTATATAGAGCAGTCTCACGGGTAGTGGTTACCTATGCTGGACAGGTTTGGGGTTTTGAACAATTTGATGTATTGGACAAATTCAAACGATATTTATAAAAAAATTGTTACTCCTCCCGAGGTATGCACCTAATTACATTTTGGCACATGAGACGGGTACCGCCTCTATACAAGCTTATAGCCTAAAAATACATTTTGATTATGTGTTGGAGTTCTGGAGATGCCTAATTTCCGTTTACCACAGATTTTAACAAAAGTGATCAAAAATAAAAATTTTTGGACTAGAAGTGGTAGGAATTAGAGGATTTTTATCATATTAGGCTTGATAATTCTAATGTCGCCGACCTAACGGGTAAATTTATTCACAGTTAGGTATACGGTTGAGGATTTGGAAAAACAATGCAATCTTGAAAAATGTTTGCAGTCCAATTTTTCTATATATGCAGGTTCATGTGATTTTAGCACTGTATCACCCTATCTAAATCACAGTTTTGATCTTGCATCGATAATGTAGATTTTCCGATGCAGGACTGTATTACTTAATTTAAGTGTTAAACAGTGGATGCAGGAGGGTAATGATAATTGTCCGGTTTGTAATTCTGGGAAAAAGAAGACACCGCACACTTCCTAGGGTCCTGTCATGTCTACAGTGAGATCAGGGAAAAATATTTTGGTCAGCAGACATGTTCACCTGAGAAATTATTAAGTCTATTGAGAGGTGCTAATTGGAAGATCCTAAGTAATTATGAACAGCAAGCCATATTACAAAGAGCCCATCAGTAAGTTTGTGAGTGATAGGTGGAATGCCTTATTTATTTGTTATGGATAGTATTTATTTGTTATTATTTGTATTGCTTATTATAAAATGTATTGTATCTACTTGGGTATTTACTACTTATCATTGATACTTATTGCTTGATTGATATGATACTACTTGTTTTATTGCTTGTTGGTCAGGTTTCGCTAACTTTTAATGTTTATTGGAGGGAAAGAAAAAAATATTATTATTTTTTTTTTTTGAAGGCTGGAGAACTCAGAAACAATTTTAAAACGTTATTAGCAATAATGTAAAAATATTATTGCTCATTAATTAATAGGATTAAAATGGAACATATTTTGTAGGAAGATCAAACAGACCTCGACAGACGGAATTTTCCATTGTCTATGTGTTGTAGCATTTGTGTGAATATGATATTTTGTATCTGTTTTTTTATGATAATAAACACATTTTCATTCATTCATTCAAATATGACCTAAAATTAAAACAACTGAATTAAAAGAGCCTAATAAATAAGTGTAATGTGGTTATCTCTTATAGAAAGTATATTCATTTCAACTGAAATAGAGACAGTTGTTTTATTTAATTCAACTTAAATACTAAAATTAGCTAAAGAAGACAACTGATGGTGCTGGTTTGTAAATGCTTGTATTAGTCATACAATAAATCAATATGTTAAGGGTTTAAAAACAGGTCACTGCTTTGATATAGAAACTGAAATTAGAAATTTAGAAGCAAATATCTACTCAAATTATGTCATAGATAATACTTAATAGCAGACTTATTTTTGGGTTTAAACCTGCACTGCCTTTAAAAAATTTTGACTATATGTTATATAGAAGTTTTATGACCTAATCACTCAAAACCTTGATTATATTAGAAGTAGGATACACTATACATCATTTCCTCATGATATATATTTTTTTTTTCATATTGAGCAGCTTCTTTTATTGCTCAAAAAAAGAGTTGGGTAGCAGAAGTAAAGTGATTTAGAATTTCAGTATAAATTATAGTGTTGAGAATTTTTGAAAGAAAAAAAAAAACAATAAATAAAACACAAATTTTCAACATATTTACAAATACTTGAATTTCAAAAAAAATATAATTTGAAAATAGATCATCAATTTTATTTTAACGATTAATACAGCCTATTATTTCAGTAGCTGTTTCAAATTATTATCAAATTAGCTGTTTCCTTGCAATCCAAAATGATATCTTAACTGTGGTGACTTATTCCAATTAGCTAATATATGGAAAAAAAATTATCAAAATCATTTGTCAGTCACTGTTTGATGACAAATTAGAAAAAAATATATACAAATTTCAAGTATAAGTAACTTAATGGAAGAGAGAAAGAAAAATTCAACCAGGTTTTTATGACACCTTAATAAGAAGAAATCTCAACAAAATAATCATGTTTTAAGAACTAGTTCAACATAAAAATAACATAATTTTCTATACATAATTATACATTAGGCCATATCATTTAAACAGCTTACCAGTGGATGATATTTAGACATCAGTTTTGATTTTATATTGTAAAATAAAATAAAATAAATCAATTAACACACTGGTCAGGCATTTTGTGGCTGTCCTTTATGGCTGCAGCAGGATTTAATTTACTATTATTTTGGTCTGATCAAAAATCAATCTAATCTATTTTTTTGTTGTGGTATATGTTAGTGTTTCATAGCAATATGTATAATGCTATAAAATTTTACCAACCATTCAGAAAAAATGTACAAGTACATAACCAGTGCTTTACTTAGAGTTTGACACAATGTTTCAAGTGATAATTTTTAAGATAGGAGATTAAACTTACTGAAATAGTCCCATTTTCTAAACCAACAAATAGTTGTCTAGTTTCTTGTCTGAAATACAATGCACTAGCTGCAGCAGCCACGTAATGGCATATGCTCGGCCAGTATTGACCAGAATCCCTTTTAAGCCATACTCTAACGGAACTAAAAAAGAAAGAAGATAATAAAATGATTTTAAAAGGACAAACAATATATAATATAAAATATTATATTAAAATTTAATAAAATCTAATCCATAGGATATTTTCTTCAATTGATTGTTATCTCACTGTTATTTACATATTATCAATATTGCTGATCAGTACAAATATGTGAATACACTCATATATATTTATGTACAAATTAATATGTTTACTTGTGCTTTGTTTATTTTAAATTTAAAATTAGATTATTTGTTAACTAATTATTTATTGATTTTCTTATAATGCCAGACAAATGTCACCTTTCTGTTCATTATAATTATTCTTAGGGTACTAAATGTCCCAGAATAAAATTTAATTTTTTTTCTTTCTTTCTTTCAGGATATCCTATGATTTGAAACTTTACCCTCTTTTTTCAACATCTATATTAATGATCACACTTTTCAAAAAGAATAGTATAAAATAAATAAAATAACACTACAGGAAATCTGCTGGAAAGAACTAGGGCTCACCAAGATAAACCATACTACAATCATTAATAGCAGTAATAGGCAGAGAATTAAGAGCACAGGTTTTATAATAAGAAACTCCCTCTAGCACTCTGTAATTAAAAACACAACAACAAAGAAAAGAATATGTATATAAGGTTGAGATGAAAGTTTTCCAACATATCCATCATTAACATCCATTATCAATAAAACATAAAAACAATCATGAGAAAAAGGGCATCTTCTATGGAATGTTAGAAAAGAAATACATGTATCCTTACCTAAGCCTGATGCTAAAATAATTCTGGGAGATTTTACAGGAAAGCAGAGCGGGGTGGCCGAGCAGGCTAAGGTTGTGTTGCCAAGCAACCTGATAAACTGAAGATGATAAAATAATTACGAGTTTTAACATGCGTGTACAACAAGCTTTGCCTGGCAAGCTGATAAACTGAAGATTATAAGTTCAAGTCCTAGAGCCCGGGTAACTTTTAATTCTGACATAATTACTCTTCCCCCCCCTCTCTTAACAGTCCTGGAAAAAACCCTGTATTATATCCAGCCTAAGGAGAGACCTAAATGGAGAGGAAGGTGAGAAAAAGAAAAAAAAACGCACTACCATTCATTATGTTGAAAAACTAAAGGAGAAGGAGAAAAGTGTTCTGTATCTTTACTCAGCACATATTCTTTTCTAGGCTCATTGCAATTAATCCAACTAGCTTTTATGAAAACACAAGTGCTTCAATAATTTTAAGAAGTTCATTCATATTGAGACTATCACATGCTTGGTATAAATATATGAAGAGATGATTGGAGATCAATATCGTAATTATACGTCTTCTCCAGCATTTGTCAAATGGAGAAGACATGATCTGTTGAGCTTCTTGCTGGTCGAAAGCCACTTTGGTATTTGTAAATATTTCTTTCTGTTCATGTCATGATTCTTCTGCTTATTGCGACCGAGAGAACTTTGTAGACAATAGACAATAGGGTATATCTCGATAGTTTTGGCAGGTTAACTTATATTTCTTCTTACATTTTGGTAACAAAATTGCCACATTCTAATGTGCCTCTTCTTCTGGCTCCTAGGCGAATCTCCCAGATTGACTCCAAGATGCCTCTGTGGACTCTCCAGTCTATGTTGCTCTCTCAGGCGGTCTTTCTCAACTGTGCCTTTTCCAGCCTTTCTGTTATCTACCTCCCTTTTTGTAGTTTTCTCTCATTGGCTGAATTTTTGTAGCATAAGGGATAGCCACGCCTTCAGGCCGCACGGACGTTTTCGCTTGTCAAATTTTTTTTGTTTCATACAGCATATTCTTTTGCTTTAGTTTCCTATTTTTTGACATTATAATCTTCAGCTGTTTTTCAAGTCATCTCTAAGGTACTCCATTTTTGTTTTATGTTCATATTAATGACACTTGTTCTTCCAGTCTGTCTGTTATTTTTCTTTGGAGTTGTTGAGCTACAGTATCCTTCTTTAGTTTTTCCGCTTTGAGAGACATGCAATAGAATTTCAGTAGCTATATTTCAGGGACGTTGGTTTAAAATCACATTAATAACATTGCCCAAACGAAGACAGTGACGATGAAGTCAAATGCGAATTTTACGATAAACTCGAATGGGTTTATGATAAACTACTGTGAAACTCCATCAAAATAACTGTACGTGACTTGAACGGAAAGGTGGGAAGGGAATAAGTTTATGTTCAGACGATTGATAAAGAAAGTTTGCACGAATATAGTAATGATAATGGGATCCATCTGATAAACTTTATGAACTCAAAAAAGCTAACACTTAGACATCACCGGATTCGCAAACATGAAATCATGTCTTGATACAACATATACAGCCTAGCAAAGCAGTATAATTAATGTACGGTCTGATCACGCAGCAGAATGTGGGTCGGATTATGAGAAAAGAAAACCGTTTCAATTTTGAGAATTTTAATTTAGAAAAATTAAAAAATCCATCAATAAGAACCCAATTCAAGCTAGATGTTAAGAATAGGTTTGAAGCTTTAGAGCTTTCTGATGAGGACAGCGAGGATGTTGACAAGTTATGGGTAGAGATCAGGGATAATATTAAAGCGGTCGGTACCTCGTGTCTAGGAAAACAGAAAATTAAAAATAACAAACCATGGTTTGATGAAGATTGCTTAAACATGTGCGAAAAAAGAAAACCCGCTAAATTAAAAGCTCTAAATAATCCTAACGACGCAATCTGGAATACTTCCGAACCTCAAAGACTGAAACGAAAAAATTGCTCAAACATTAAAAAAAGGAGTATCTTAAAAATAAAATAATTGAAATAGAAACTAATAGAATCGAAAATAACGTAAGAGACATGTACAAAGATATAACACGTAAATGTTTAGGGCCCGTCATGTCTAGAATTAGGGATGAAAATAACAATATTCTGACCGATCCAGTTGACATATTAAATAAGTTTAAGGACCACTTTGACAATATTTTAAATACGGGAAATTATGATCTGTGTCCTCCTTCTGAGTACCAGAGTGCGGAGCCGTTAATAGAAGAACCGAGTAAAGAGGAAATTGAAGTAGCTATCGGAAAATTAAAATCTTATAAAGCAGCGGGAACCGATAACATTCATACTGCACTAACTATGGCATGAGAGGAAGCTGGAGTTTCTAAAATACATTGGTTGATTAAAAAGATCTGGGTGAATGGGAAATTATCTGAAGAATGGAAAGAATTTATTCTTATTCTGATTCAGAAAAACAGCCCGACGACGGATTGTAATAACTATCGAGGAATTTCACTCTTTCTGGTATGATACAAAATATCCACTTTAATCTTAACTAGTAGAATCACGGAATATCCGAGAAAATTATTGGAGACTACCAATGCAGATTTAGGAGGAATCGTTCGACTATTGATCAAATATTTTCTTTACGGCAAATGTTAGAGAAAAAATTAGAGTTCAACGGTATTGTTCACCAGCTGTATGTCGATTTTAAAAAGGCTTACGATTCTATTGACCGCCAGAAATTGTATAATATTTTAATCGAGCAGGGGATTCCAAATAAAGCATTCAATATTAAAAGTTCTTATTTGTTTATGATATGGTCCAACCTCTGGGCAAAATAAATGATAAATAAATTATTGATACATGAGTTTTAGTAAACCACCTGGCAACTATTTATTATATGTATTATTATATGTATATTACAGGTATTAGGATGAATCATTTCCGGGCAAGTATATATAATTTAACTTACCTCTAAGAATCAGTAAATATACAAAACAAAGTGTTAAATTGCAACGCTAAATAAAAAATTAAAGATATTCAGCGAAGTATTTTCGAATTAAGTTTTTTTATTATAATTATATCATTTTTACAATACAGGCCTTATTAAATGACCTCCATATAGAATAAAGAAAGTAATATTTAAAAAAAATAGAAAATTGTTTAATTTTTTTGATAATTAAATTATTGCATTAATATTAGTTCGTTAATACAATCAATATAATGTACAAAAAACGTTATTATGGCACTATAACTATACCATTTATGAGTACTGAATGATGTGACAGAGGCAAATAGACATCTACACCAGTACCAGGTTTCTACAGAATCACTTCAAATATTTAAAAAAGTTATCAGTGTTTTAGAAAAAGAGATATATTTTCCAGATGTTTTATTTCTAAAGATTTTTCGTTATTGTAGTCCATTTAATAACATATTGCCATTACCGTTTACCGTATATATAAGTAAATATTAGCGTTTAATTGCTTCATTTTCAACTTAAATTTTTTTTTGACAACATTGACTTTACTGCCTAAACCAATTATTTTTTTATATAGTTTCATGTCTTATTATTCTCTGACCATTCAGCTTTAATAAAAGGCTAATTATGATGAAATTAAAACAGATGCAGATTCTCAGTGATCAAAAAACCAACTCAAGTCAAAGTCATCAGTCCGCCATCTTTGGACACCATTTTAGAACAGTGCGTTCACTTTTTTTCATGGGAACATTGGCTTTTCGTTTTAAAAGTAGTTACAAGGAACACGATATGAAATTTATAGGAATGTGGGGGGGAGGGGAAGAGTGTGCATGGTAGGGGGTCTGGTCTACAGATTATAAGGGCTCAATAAGAACCTCCTCTCCATTAGTCGCCGATTTACTCTTGCTTCAATAACCGCCTGTGTTTCCGTTAGTAAGCAAGTCTTTCCCGGGAATTTAACCTGGGACCCGCTCTACCCTCCTTCATTCTTTATATATCCCAGGACGATACCCTTTTTAGGCCCGTGATTGGTTCTTCCGTTAACATTCCCAGATAGGTTTGCTGAGTAAATGAATTGCTCACCTATGTCAATGAGGGCCGATACCTTCATTACATCCATACAGGACGAGAACACCTTCCACGCCAATATCCAAGGGAGTAATCCAAACCGTATGATGGATTGTTGAATTACTGACAGTTATATCCATCGTCTACTTTTCTTCCACGAGAAGTTTCTCACCTATCATCCCCTTAATAGTGCTACTACTTCCATGCCTCTCACGTAATTGTCTTCATTCCAATAGTTATCACATCTCCAGATTTTCTGCAGCATTACTTCTTCCAGCCTTCTCGTTCCCGGGCTCATAATCTGAGGACACTCGCTCGGCGAGAATTACTGCTTCATCAAAGGTTTCTACATCTTGCTCCTTTATTATTTAATAAGAAATGTTCTAAAAGACTGTTAGAGATTATCAAAAAACATAGCAGATATTCTCAATATTAAAATGAATTTACTCATAAAAGAGACAGAAAAGTTTTGAGTTTACACATGTTCACAGATTTGTTTTGTTACTTTGTGTCCCAATGGTAGCTAATCCTAGCAATATGATTAAATTGTTTATTAAAATTGTAACTAATTACTAATAGTACACATTAAATAATATCTTTGGTTACTCAGATTCGAAAATAAACGACTTAAACTAATTGATATAGTTTTCTTTTTTCCTTAAGTTGAAAAAGATAAAAATATAATGTTTTTCACAGGAATTTATGTACAGATATCGATATTACAAAGAGGTTACACTCTTATATTAAAATTGGTAGCTCTGATTCGCCCAGATAGGCCCCTTCTCCTCTCAGAAGTAAATAAACAACAAAGAGAAAAATATCAGTAGAAAATATAAATTAAGTGGTAAGAATGCAAATAATATTATAAATCTAACTACCTAGAATAAATTAAATGAATTTTAGAGATATAAATTAAAAACATTAGAAAGTGATTTTTAAGTGAGAATTAATGACTAAATATTAATTACTTTTTAATATTAATCACTTTGATTTTTTAAAATATATTATTAGGTACTGAGGGCTGTATTTTAGGCTTGATTTCAGTTCAATGATTTGGCAAAGACATATGAAAAAGGTTTAAATTGGTTTTCAGCTATACTGTTGCTATATATCATCCTTATTCTGACAGGTATGCCATTCAAATTCAAACTTTTAATAACCATAAGAAAGCACAGAGACAATTGTATTAAGTTTCTTGACCAAATTTCAAACATCCATGCCTAGGACATGGACAAACAATTGCAGCCTGCTTGCACATCAAAAAACCTGTCAATCATGTTTAAAACAGACAGAAAGACAAAGAAAAAAATTGAGAATCCAAAATCACTTTGACAAATAGAAATAAAACAGAAACTTTTTTCTCATTTCAGTCGAGTCATAATGTATCTTACTGCTAAAAGATTCATAAGAGATACTTTATAAATATCTTTATGTATGTACCTAATTTTTTAATATTTGGTTACATAAATAATTTAATTGTATTTATATCGCTAGAATAATTTAGCTGTTCATATTTCTATAATTGTTTGTGTTGGAAATATAACATGACATAACTTGTCAATAGACAGTTGAACTCGGTTAGCATCAGTGTTCCATGAATAGTAAGATCATGTAGAGTGGCACTTGAGAAGTAATATCTACAAATAAATTAAATATGCCAATTAACGACTACAATATTACCAGTTAAGTAAAAATGTACAATCAATGTCCTTTTGTATAGAAAATAAGCATAATTGTAGGAAAATATCAGATCCATGCAAAACAACTTTCAATTATTAAACAGTACATCTTAAAAAGAAGAGGAGATAAAAAACATCTTTATTGAATTTACAAATGATACCACTATTGCATAATTATATAACTTTATAGAGAACTAGAAGCTAGAATACTTGGTACTAATTTAAAGCTTTGGAAATCAATCGACATTTTCATAATGTAAACATTAAGTATCAGCCAAACAAAATTATCTGCTGATCAATAAATTATATACAACCAAATATTAGTAAATTCTATTAATAAATTATCAATTTAATTCTATTTTAAAAATATTATAAGCAAAATTACCGGTCATCTGAAACACTGATGACACCTTCTTGCCCTGGAATAATAATTGCCTGATTAACATCATCAGCAGATCCTTCTAATTTTGACAGTAATGTTAGCTTCTTGGTTGAATTAAATCTATCACCAGGAGCTCCTACAGCAGCTTTTATTTCAGCTGCCATTCTACTAATTATAATACGGAATACAATTATATCACAAGAACATTCCAAATCTCAAACATGACAATTAAGCTGATAAGACTAGTAGGCATCAAAACCTTCCCAATTAATAGGTTTTAACTGCGGTTATAAATACATTCATTCCCTTTTCAAAAAAACATATCATTTAAACAATCAAAAAAAAATTTTAAAAAGTCAAAATATTATAAATATATTTCATTATGACTGTTTTTGTTGATATAAACACGAAATTAATATTTTGTTAATTGGATAGAGAGATAAATAATATAAAAATAAATATTATTTAATTTAATTTTTAATTATTACTTTTAAAAATGAAACCTTAAAGGGACTTAATACATCACTAACAGAAAAAAAACATATGCTGTCAGTGATCCAGGTGTTTTGGTGGTACCGGTGTTTATGAGCGTGCAGAAGCCTTGTGTGTTTGGACGTAACGTTATCTTTAATATTAAGATTCGGAATTTTCTGTTATTTCTGTAATTCTAAAAAACAAAAATGGTAGGATTCTTTCAAAACTATGATTAATAATCTGTTATTTGGAGTTTTTCCCATTATCTGTTTTTTTGTGTATATACATGATTGTTTTCCTCATCTTTTAACATGTTTTAATTTTTATTTTTAGACGGTCGGTAAGAACAATAAAATGCTTCAACATATCAACTACAGGGTTCGGATAATTTTACAAGATTCGAGAACATTTATTGGCACATTTAAAGGTATTTTATTTTTATTATTATCTCTTGTAAATATTAGTTTATCAATTTTAATAAAGTAATTATTTATTTTATTTTTGTAGCATTTGATAAACACATGAATCTCATTCTTGGAGATTGTGAGGAGTTCAGAAAAATTAAACCAAAAAATACCAAACAGCCAGAGCGGGAAGAAAAGAGAGTGTTAGGATTTGTATTGTTAAGAGGCGAAAATATAGTTTCCCTTACAGTCGAAGGTCCTCCACCTCCAGAAGAAGGGTTGCCTAGGGTGCCCCTTCCTGGAGCAGGTGGTGGAATTGGTTCAGCAAGACCTGCGGGACGTGGAGTTCCAGCTCCTGGTACACCAGCTGCACCTGGTGAGTTTTAAATAGTTACTCTTTGTTTTTATGGTTATCAATTATATCTAATTGATTTTTACAATTTAAAATAAAACTGGGTGTTCAATAGTCTTGAATTCTTCGAAGATTAGATATGTTGTTCGAATTTTTCGCATTCAACTTTTAAAAAAACAGCCAGTAATTGGGAATTAATGAGTGTATAGTAGGCAGAGATCACAATCATAATGTAGATGGATTAGTGGAAATCCATATTGGCATATTATTGAAAAACATATCTGTGTGGACCTCTTGTGAACTAATATCCAGATCCCTTTTCTAGATCTCAGTCATCTTAGATTTTGACGATTGAATTCACCAAAGAAGAAAATTTCATGAAAAAGTAGGTTTTAAAATGGTGACATTGGTAAGTCAGCTGATTTGCGTTAGGATAAATTGTGTTTTAATGATTTTGAGTCGAACATTAGGACCCAGTAAAGATCTCTTAGAACCCTCTATCTTGTTTGTTTATGCTTAAATTCCTTACATACTCTAACTTGGGCAGGAAGGACAGGTTGTTTTCCATGTAATCAACCTATACTTGTCTCCACTTGGCTATGCTCGAGTCCACCATGAAATAAATTTCAATAAAAAAATCCAGCCTGTTCCGGCCATTGTCTCCTCAAACCTGAGTTTACTTAGGTGAATGTTTCACCTGTCACTAAGGAAACTAGGCATTTTTTTTTTTTTTTTTTATAAAACTGGATTTTATTTATTACATTAATATTATTATGTACAAAGTAAAGTCTTAAGAGGTGTATGGTGATTTTGGAGTCTGCAAAATAGGATGTTTATCATGTAATGAGAATGAAGGATAATTTATAATATAAAGCTAAGGAGAATTTTGGATAGGACAGCTGTAGTTGTCATGATGTGAGATAAAGATGCATATCCAAAAAAATACTATGATGATAAAAGGAAGAAAAGTATTCTTTATACATGAAAAGGAACATTTACTGGTGAAAAAAAGAAAAGATTTTGTAAACTATTCTATTCTATGTAGACTCTAAAGAAAGTAAATTTATCTTTGAATACAATAAAAATGTTATCGCTTCTATAAAAGAGGAAAATAGACTGAGTGTAAAAAGAAAAGTATGATGAATATATAAATGAGTAAAATGTATATATGTTCATAGTAATAAATAAAAATTAAATTTATATTTGCCAAAATTCTAGTTTTCATGTCATTTGAAAGTTTCAATGTTACCAGGCAACCAATATCTCTAAATGCTGGTAAGGCATAAGGACATAGTAAGTTTGGTTTACCATTATGATGACAGCATGAAAGTAATCATAATTAACAAGGCTGAAGACTTTGAAACATAATAGCTGGCGACTAACTCTAATATTTATCCTCTGAAAAATCAAATCTTAGGCACAGACTTATGACAATTATTTGGGAGGAGAGCCAAACTATAGGATTACGAGTTAAGGGGCCTTGGAGGATGGGAATATATTCTCTTTGCAATTAATAATATATGACTGTATGAAAGATTACCATTTTATGAAGGTATTAAGTTGTTTTAAGCCCTTCCTAATGGAAAAAAGTGTCAAGTCACACAAAATATTTTAAACTGAAACAGTTAAGTATTTTAATAGATGGTTCCTTTAATGGTTTTGGCGAGTTTATGAATCCAAACAATTAATCAAATATAACATTTGATCTTTGTACACAACCGATATGTTGATAAAGTTATTACAATAGCAATTTGTTGGAGGGCATAGCTCTCACTACGGCAGCATGGGGGAAGGAGCTCCAGTTCCTAATAGTCTGCACCTATGAATCAAATCCTATCCCTTTATTCCTTAGGCCTTTTTATTGTCCCCTTTGAACCCACTCACCACTTCCAGTTTTCTAATACATGGCTTAACCTTTTTATAGTAGATTCTTTCTGAAATTTAGAATCATCTCCGAGTTTGGTATCTTTCCTTTTATATTATGATCTAAATAATCAAAATTTCCTAGTGTGACCTTAGATCACTATCCACTCATTTTTTTATTCACTATTCCAGTCCCTAGAATTTATGTGGAAATTCTTAAACTCATTACTGAGTGTAGGAACTTGCCCTAACTATTTCTCTTCTTCTATTGATGAAATGATAGGCCTATTCTCTAATCTCTAAGCACTTCTTAAGATCCGTTTTGAGAGCAGCCTGATGACGTTTCAGATGCACTTCAACATCTGATGATTGACGAAACCTCATCCAATTTTCTGTCATGCTAAGGCATCATAATATCATTATTTTTATCATTCTTCAGCACAACTTCTCTTAAAAAACATTCTGTATTTTGAAATTTGTCTTAAGTAAGCTCCAGATCTTATGGTAGGTGGGGCAGGATTTCCCATTTAAGCATTTCTAAGATGGGTTTGTACCAGTTTTGCAACATGTGGCATTATAATAAAATCACCTTATTGTACCTCTGCTCATGTAGCAGTCATTTTTCTTTTAAGGCGTGGCCAAGTTGTTTTTTATAACAATCTCCTTTATAATGTTGTTCGGTTTGAGCACCTCATAATAAATTACATTGTGCTGATCCCACCAAATGCAGTAAAGCTTCGATGATATTGATACATGGTTGTGCTTACTTCATGGTTTTTTAAGCATAGGATTATCATACTGTATCCATTTTCCATCCCCAATCATGATACATTGCAATAAACTTTACCTTATACAAACACCAATTTTCTTGCTTCTGGATCATTCTTTTATTTGTTTTTTTTATTACCACCATCTAGGTCCATCTCTTTTCTAAATATTATTTATGTTCCATTTTAATGTTGTTATTACTTCAATTCTGAATAATTTAAAATCCATGGGACCAGTACTTACTGAATTTTTATTGGCAACTTAATTTAATCACCTAGTTTAATACATGCCTTAGGGTTCAATGTCTTGAGATTCTTGAATTTTCATGGATTCATTCATTAATGGCAAACATAAAGCAATTCTTGAGCCATTTAGACATTAGAATTAAATCTTTTTACATAATTTTTAATGTATAGAAATAAAACTAGGCATTCTTAAGTTAGACTGGTGCCCTTTAAAGTTTTCCCTGATGTCATTTGGGTTCACTGTCTCTAATGGTAGTTTGTAAATTTAATTTTTCATATATCTAGGTCTCCAAGGTCCAGTTCGTGGTGTAGGTGGCCCATCTGCACAAGTTATGACTCCAGCGGGGCGTGGAGGACAAGTTTCTGCTCCTCCTCAGATGCGTGCTCCACCCCCAGGAATGCCCCCAATGATGGGAGCTCCACCAATGATGAGTGAGTACCATTACTTTATTTTTCTCTTTCATCTTTTTCACATTAATATTTTGTAATTATATGTTTGAAATCGTTGTATCATTGTATAATTAAGTGGTCTTTAATATCAATCAGGTCTTATCTCCATTGATGTCACTTTACAAGGCTTAAATGCCCAATGTTCATATTCTTCTTCCTCTAAAATACCTTTAATATGAAGAGAAGAATAGTTGGGGTGGTCAGTCAAAAAACGAAGGCAAAATAAATCGATCATTTATTTTTGCCATAGTTTTTTGACTGACCACCCCAACTATTCTTCTCTTCATTGTCCACAACAGTCAACCATTTACCAATTATATACTTTTAATATGGTTTCTTTTAAATAATTAAGTATCTCTCATTATTAAGAGTTACGAAAAAATGCAATGCTAAATATAACTTTTGAAAGAATTTGATGATTGAATAAAGGAGAAAAAAATTAAAATGCTTATCCAGACCGAAAATGAATCTTCGGAAATACTAGTCAGAAGGTATACGTATAATATATCGTTGGAAAGCAGAGAATTTTAGAATAAACAATATATAATGTAGAAGGGTGACGGAGAGTGGAAAAAAAAATTATAAATAATAGTCTCTTAAAACTAACATTATTTAAAGTAAATCACATGTTTTCAAGGAAATTAAATGAAAGTAACAGTGGTTAAATAGTTGACTTTCGTGAATAATGAGGAGAAGAATAGTTGGGATGATCAGTCAAATAAGAAGGCAAAATAACTATTATCATTTATTTTGCCTTCTTATTTGATTGATCACCCCAACTATTCTTCTCCTCGAAATTAAATGAAATTTACTAACTAAATGTAAACTTTTAAAATATTTTTAAGTTTGAAAAAAGTATTTAAAATCCACCTAATCAAGGCAATGACATTGTTAGAAAAACTATTTCATTGTACTTGTGTTAAAAAAGAAGTAAAATATAAAATCATTTCGTGGATGCATAAGCATATGTTTATAACCTTAAATAAATTTACTTTCATGTAATAATTCTAGATCTGATATTATATTTAAATAATTAGGTATCAACGTCTGTTTATTCCAAAAAATTGTCATGTAACATTTTAGAAAATTAAATTAGTGAATAATTTGATGAATTTTCCCTTAGTGAAATTCCAACATTATCATGTCTTCCTCTAAAGTACCTTTAATTTGGTATAATAACTATTTAAACTAATAACTATTTATCATGGTTTGAATATATGGAAAAATGCTTATCCAGGTCGAAAATGAATTTCCAGAAATAATAGTCAATAAGGTATACATATAATCCGTTGGAAAGTGGAGAATTTTAGAATAAACAATATCTATTGTAGAAGGTAATGGAGAGTGGTGAAAAAAATATAAATAATCATTTCTAAAAACTAACATTATTTAACATAAATCACGTGTTTTTAAGGAAATTAAATGAAATTTTGTTCCTAAATGTAAACTTTTTAGAAAATTAAATTAGTGAGTAATTATATCAATTTTGCATTTGCGATATCCCAACAGTATCCACTTACAATTAGTGTGACAACTTTTGACCTATGACAGACAATGCTAATATCTTAATTCCATTTTAGTAAACTTTGCAATGTAAGATAACAGTTTAATAACAGCAATCGTACAATCCATAATCAATCAGTGATATGATAAATAGGACTTTTGTTATTTTAGATTTATTAGCTGTAATCTTTTAGCTTTAACTGGGTTAAAAATGGAATTAAAAAATTTTATAATAGCCTAACATGGCCAGAAAATAATTTCTATTCAAAGTTGAGCGGTAAGAGAAAGTTGTGTGTTGCACACACCAGATTTTTATATTTGTTTGCAGGCTGTAACAACCATAAACAGGAGTACTGTTTTATAAAAAAATATTTGATAACTTAATGTGGCTACAGGATGTCCAACAGCCTTAAATTCCTCTAATATTGTGGATTCTGTTTGAAGTTTTCAAATAATAGTTTATAGTTTAATAATTGCTAAGTAATAGTGTTTCTTGGTGCTTGGCAACAAGTGTTTAACATATTGAGTTAGTGTCACAGTAATTCTCCATACCTTAATAACGCCATGAAAGCTAGAAAAAGCCTCCTCCTTCCATATGCTTTGTCAATCAGTCCCAATTTCTCACACAAAGTTTGCTCTATCTGTTAAAGTGAACTGTAGGTGTTATAGAATAGTAAAGTAACATAACATCATTACAACTCGTTAAGTTTTTATTATAACCAGTTTACATTCCTCTTCTCGTGATAAGTTCCTTGCTATTGAACCTAGTTAGATTAATCATGATTTACTGTGCAGCTTTAAATGCACCATTATGATTCTGGGACTGTTACACACTGATATTAAATTTCTTTAATTCAATTACTTTTTCTGTTTGATTTAAATATTTAAATGCCATCTTCAATAAGTTTTATAACATTATGAAAAAGAGGTGGTCGATTGTGTACAAACTGCTAACACCAAACATTTAAGTCTTAAAAACTGTGTTATTATTGAAGTCATAAATTAGACGTCTAATACATCATCAAATTATTCGCTCTCATTATACACCTTTAGAACTAAATTCTCATATTTATTTCAGCTGAATACTATGTCACCTGATTAACATTTCCACCATATTATCATGATGTAATTGTTTTTTTGTTTTTGTTTATTGAAAATTTACAATCTGTCTAAATTAAGGACATTTATAATAGAGTTCAGACAGCACATTCACACCATATTTACAGAATCATAAATAAGTAAAGTAATAGCAATATAATATACATAGAAATAAGAACAAAATAAAATATAATGAGAAGAAAAAATAAATAAATTAAACTTTCTTTAAAAAAAAATAATAAATACAAATCGTAGATGCAGCTTACCTATATAAACTATTTACAATCGACCAGAGGAACTCAGAACCATTCTGTCCCCCTCCCCACTTGTGAAGGAAAAAGTGAGGCTTCAGGAGATTCCTGCGCTTCTCTCTCAACCACTTCACTGTTATTAAAATCTAGTGTTAGGTAGATAACAATTTTTCATTATCTAACAGTGGTACAACCTCCATAATTATTCAAATTCATTCTCAAGATTGAATGGTACACTTTGTAAGAAGTGGGCCAAATATATATTTTATTGTTCAAATTAGATTCAGGAACATTGAATAACACAAATGTAAAGCCAGTACAAGACTTTCTAGGGTAGGATTTTGTGGCCAATCTGCATCAACCTCACCAACTACATTTTTATCAGTTTTAGTATCATAAAAACTATATTTTACTTTAGGTATTTAAGGACACATTTTGTAGGTTTTTAACATTCCACTGCTAAATTGACTTACATAACATAACCGCTATATCAGGTCCAACTACTAACAATTAAATATATATAACTGCCTATTAAAGATTGATGCAAGGAATCCTGGGAAGCACTGAAACTGCTTATAAAGTTTACTAAACTTCAAATTAGGAGGCTCCATTGGATTAAATTATCAAGTTATTGTTATCTCTTAAATATAATAACTTAGTACAGTTCAATTTTTATTATTCCATTATTAAGTTGAGTTACCCAGGAAAGCGTTTTACTAAGAGGAAATCTAAAGATATTATATACAAAAGATGCTAATTAAGTTTCCTTTTTTTAGACATGGCACCAGGAATGGCGATGGGAAGAGGTGGACCACCTCCTCAAATGGGTGCTCCTCCAGCTCCACCTATGCGAGGTCCCCCACCAGGAATGATGAGAGGTAAATGATACGGATTTATTTGTTATTTTTTAACTGAATTGATTATCCATCACAAATAAGTGTATTATTACAATTGTAACTTAAATATCTTATTAAAGATAATATTGTGACTAGTATTCAAGATCACATTCAAAATCATAACTTTTGGAAATTTTGTTTTAGGTGGTAATTGTTTTAAATTGTGGAAAAAAAAAAATGCAACTGAAATTAATATTTTATTCTTTTAATTTCTTTGACATGGTCATTAAATCTTCTAGCTTAATATTATTTGGAAAGAAATTTCCTCAACTTTTCAGAAACTTGCCTGTTTAAAAAAAAAAGTTTTAATATATAGATTAAGATCAGCAATTAATCTTGACCCATGTTTCTAGATATCAAGGTGATGTCCACATTATATGTTTAAAATGGATGGGTCTAATAAAATTTTTTTAAAGATGTTAGGGAAAGAAAAAATATAAATAACGGTAACATGGATAAATAACTAATAAAGTGTTGTAAGAAGTATTTCTTATATGGATTAAAATCAATCGATACATTAAGAATTGACTGACCTATCTGTTCGTTCTCTTTCATGTTACAAACTTAGCTAAGATAGCTTTCGTTCAATAAAAGGACTACTGGAAACCATTTTAAATTCTAAAAAAATCCTTACTAGATTACTCAACTTTGATCAATCAATTGAAACCTGCTATATATAAAAAATCCTAAATCGAGGGGACAAAATTCAGTGTTTCATTTAATGAGAATACTTATTATACAAATTTTAATGTGATATAGTTTGTCATCCCAAGAGATATTTCACCTCGACTTACTGTGCACCATTTGGTGTTTTGAAAACTTAGTGTCAATATCATAAATTAGTTGAGTCATATGGTAGTTGCACATGGAAAACTCAAGTAGTCAATTTCTATTTTGTCCCTTATACAGGGTGTCCTGGAAGTAAAGGGAAATATTTTTAGGAATGATGGTAGACCTCAAGAGCAATAATCATGTCCAAATCTACAATTTCAACATCCCAATGTAAGGAAAAAAATAGATAAAAGCTTGGCAACAATTTGTTGTAGTCATTATTGCTGAAAACATGGGTACTTTTACCTGACAGGATATAAAATCACAATTTTTTAGACAGCTTCAGGTAAATCTCAACATTTTTCCTGATAAACCTTGACTTAATTAACATGACCTTCAATGGTTATTAAATGAAGGAGTTATTCTAAAAGTGGAGTATCTGTAGTACAGTTGGAGAATGATGAAAAAAAATCTCAAATAATTTATGATTTTTTAAAAAATATGACAGCTTAGTTTCATTTGATGTAAATTTGTTCTATTTTCGTGAGCAGCAAATTGTTAATTACTTACATTAATTATTTTTTAGTAATCGCTTCCTGCTAAACAAAAAACATGACTTGAAAAAAAAAAAAAGGGAGAACACAAAACTTAAATTTCCTACTTTTCTGCTTAAAACCAGGCCATTGTTTATAAAAACTTTTTTTGTAGCATTTGAGGGCTCCTATCACTCCTATAAATATTTCCCTCTACTTACGGAACACTCAGTATATCTAGAGATGCTGAATATGAAGTTTTGACAACAAAATTTCATTGAGTGGTCTAAGTAAGGTATATGCAAAAAATTAGCCTATTGTTTGCAATTTTTGCCTGAGACTGTAAATTTTATTGTAAATATCATTTTTTACAAAATTTAATTAGATTAAATTTATCGTAAATTTCTGCTGGAATTTTTTATTGTTTGACAGAGAGTGAAGAAAACTTTTTTAAATTAAATTAAAAAAAAAAATGTTTTCAATTATTTATAATAACAGAATACAATTACACAAATAAAAAGTTAATCTTAATGGTAATAAATTTAAAATATTTTGAATATATTATATATCGTTCTTTAAATTTCTTCAATATTTTCTCCTCTGTTGTATTTTGTTTTTTGTAGGACTGCAAATTTCACTGATTTCTATTGTAAATTATTATCTCTTATTGTTTCAGGTCCCCCTCCTTTTTAAGAAGAAAGAAAATTTTGTTACCTTCCTTCTGTAATTTTTTTTTTAAGTTTGAAATTTACAAAGCCAATGGATGGCTAAGATTAATTTCTGACTTTTTTTTTGGATACATACCATTTATTTATGTAAATGTGCTCATGTATGTATATATTTATCTATGCATTTTGGAAAAAGAATATTTGTACTAAATTATTTGATAAATAATTGTAGTAATTATACTTAAACACTCTGGTCTTTATTTAATAAACCATTGTTCTTCTATTAATTGTAATAAATTTGTTTTAAATTTGAACCAGTGCTACATATTTTCTTAATCTTAAGATATTTAAATTAAGCAAAAAATTTATGTTTAAACACGAAACTAATTACAATCTGTTCATTGCCTTAAGGTTTACTATTTAAATGCTATCGACAACATGAATAAAATCATTTACCATGAGTTAGCAGGGTGGGTGTCTAGGAGCCTTGAGATCCTTGATGGTTTTATTATAATTTATTATAATAGTGCAAAATGTTGTATGTTTATTCTATTTTGTGATGAAGGTGACATTTTTTGGTTTGCAATAAGTAGCGTGCTACTATGGAAAATAGCAGAGGGAAATAAAATATGAAATTTTATAAAAAATAATGTATACAACGTGTTTAGTAAGAGTAAATGTTACATTTCTTATAAATTGATTATAAACATTATTTTTAAGTTTGTATAACTTATTACATATTTCATGTATCGTCAATCATATATTTTTTTCATTATTAACCATTATCTGTCTTAAAATATTATATCACTGATTCTATTAACTTTTTAGTTGCTCGGAGCCAGAATCAAGGTCAGATCATGTGTGTCCAGGGTACTGAAGGTCTAACCACCAATCCTCTGTGCATGATATGTATTCACTGAATTGCTCCCGTCTTTTTGCACTTTTGACTTTTATAACTGACTTATACATTTTTCTTTAATATAATATTAGCTCACATTTCAATAATCAATAATTTTTACTTTCACTTACGTATATATGAAATATATAGTAAGTGTAAGTATTGCGATCATGCAAATTTTCGAGTCTAAGTTTTCAACGGAAATACACGTTTGGAGGTACCCTGAGTCCCAATAACCAAGTCCCGAAAAATAGTCTGTGTGTATGTTAGCAGTCTAGCTAAAGATAGCAAATTAGCAACTTTTTCCTTAAAAGCTACTAACCGAAAGTGCCATTTTATATTAATGCTGAAACACATTTTTACAATTTTCTCAAAAATGGCTCTAACAATTTTGATTTAACTCTGTGTATCATAGTATAATTAAGTGGCCTTTAATATCAATCAGGTCTTATACCCATTGATGTCACTTTACAGGGCTAAATGCCCAATGTTCATATACGTCTTCCTCTAATGTACCTTTAATATGGTTTATTTTAAAAAGTTAATAATCTCATATTATTCAGAGTTAAATATAACTTTTGAAAAAATTTGATAATTAAATCAAGGAGAAAAAAAATAAAATGTTTATTCAGGTCGAAAATGAAATCTCCGGAAATAATAGTCAGAAGTATACATATAATACATCGTTGGAAAGCGGAGAATTTTAGAAAAAACTATATCTAATATAGAAAGTTGTAGAAGGTAACGGAGAGTGGCAAAAAAATTATAAATAATAATTTTTGAAAATAAATAATATTTAATGTAAATCACATGTTTTCAAGGAAATTAAATTCAATTTACTTACTAAATATAAACTTTGAATAATTTCATGAATCTCCCCTTTATGATATTCCAACAGTATCCACTACTTTTTCATATTTATATATAAGAATATTTCGTAGATATGTTTATAATCTTAAATATATTTACTGTAGTTTAATAACTCTAGATCTGATATCATATTTAAATATTTAGGTATCTATCATCCGTTTATTCCAAAAAATCATCATGTAACCTTTTAGAAAATTAAATTAGTGATAGTTTGATGAAATTTTTTTTTTGTGATATTCCAACAGTATCCACTTAAATTCATGTGACAACTTTTGACCTGTCTATGACAGACAATGCAATCCCTTAATTCCGTTTTAGTAAACTTTGCAATGGAAAATAACAGTGTAATAACTAATAGTTGTACAATCCATAATCAATAGATCATACAATCTATAATCAACAATCCATAATCAACCGGTAATATAATAAATAGAACTTTTGTTATTTTAATGGTATTTATGATTTGTTAGCTGCAATTTTTTAGCTTTAGCTCAGTTAAAAATGCAATTCATAAATTTTTAATAGCTCAACATGGCCAGAAAAAAAATTTTATTCAAAGCTGCGTGGTAAATGAAAGTTGAGTATGCGCGCACCAGATTTTTTTTTTATTTTAAACTTTCTTTTAATTTATTAATTGTCTTATATTACTTTTACATTATACTGTAGCATTTGCATAATTTTTTTTTATTCTTCATTTGGGATTTCTTTATTCACTTCCAACATCATCAATTACCGCTTGATTTCTGGTGTACTAGGTTGATCAGGGCCGATATGAATGTTTTCTTCATCTATTTGATAATAAGAAATTGTTATCTACCTTACTTTTTACAGAGGACACATCAAAATAAACAACTAGAGCACAAAAACAACAATTTGACAAATTAGATATAATGGAATAATTTTCACCACAGTTTTATCAAAAAGCCATCATTTTTTCAGAAAACAAAACAAGGAATGGCAAATACTGAAGATAACATAAGATTTGAAATAATTTTGAGGCTATAAAAAGATAGTAATGTGATTGAATAGAGAAAGTTAAAGTTTTGAAAAGCTAGAATAATATTTTTCTCATACTATTAACGAAGAAGCAATATCACTAAATCTAAAGAAGACTGCAGCAATTACTAATAATACATACACTAAAATCTTAAATAAACAAAAGGTTATACATATACTAAAGTTAAACTATAAATTACTGATGAGTGATCAGGGATGAGATGTGGCTCACTTTGAAATGCGGAGTTATGGAGAGACAACTATGAACAGGTGCTTAGTGAATCACTTTCTGTTAACAAGTGTGTGCTAAACGAACACTTCAACTAAAAGTACTTTATGAGAAGGAGTTAGTCGAGTGTGCGGTCAAATAAATAAAAAAATTAATTATTTCAGTGTTTCAACTGCCTCCCGCAGTGCCACATCCTACGCCCTGAAGACGACCTACAAAGTGGGTCGAAACGTCGGCAAAAATTAAAATAATTTATATATTTTAATTTTTTTATTTATTTGACCGCACCCTCGACTAACTCCTTCTCATATTATATTAACGGTCAACCATCTCTACATCACTATACAAGTACTTTATATCAAATATAAACTTTTAAAAAGATAAATAATTTTAGTTTTTGATTGTAATAAGTGGATTATTGAAAGAAGTTAGACGACTGTTCTACATATAGATGATAAATAGTCAGAATACAGTTTTAAGGTTTATATGGCGTCGTTTCAACCCAAACATGTGGGTCATCACGAGGGCTGACAATTGTCCAACCCTTTAGATGCACAAAGCCAATATAATGGCTCGGGTTGGCTGTAAGGCCAGCGTGCAATGCTAATACAGTGGCTTCAGAAAGACCATGCTCCTGGCATGCAGAGCCGATATATTGGCTTCAGCTTTTATTGTTTAGTTGTGCTGAGCCAATACTACGGCTTGTTACAGAGTTCTTTACAGGGTAACCCATTGGTTATAGCTTTTTGTGGGATGCAAAATCCTTTATAATTAAAGCTCATATGAATTGCACGTTTAATAGTCATTTCATAGTTCCTATTTTAAATTTTATCCTCCACTTATTCCTGTTGAGCAAATCCGCTACTTAGAACTCCATTTGGATAAACGTCTTACTTGGAATCCTCATACTAGACTGAAACGACAAGAAACTGCTCGACGTTTCCGACTGCTCCAACACTTACTAGACAAACGCTCCAAACTTTCTATTAATTACAAAAGACTTATCTACATAACTATAATAAGACCTATATGGACATACGGAGTTGAGCTTTGGGGCTCCACCAAACCATCGAATTCCTATCGTATCCAATCCTTACAATCAAAATCCTTAATGCTCCATACTTTGTCACAAATAAAACCATTCATAAAGACCTTAATGTACCATATGTCGCAGATTTAGCTCGAGCCAGATATCTATCCTTTCATGATAAACTTCAGTCCCATCCAAATCCGCTTGTTTCCACTCTTGCTTCTTTCTCGATTCCTGATAATCCTCCTAGGCGTCTGAAAAGGAGATGGCCTCGTGATCTTCTTACTTAAAATTATTTAGAGAGTGCTACCACTGGGTAGTAACTCTTCAAGCCTGTACATGCCATTATTTATATTTGCGCATATTTACTTGTTGTATTTGTATACAATTGTAAATTCCATTAAATAAAAAATAAAAAAATTTTATCCCATAAATTAATGAAAAATGTCTCGGATTTTACAGCTAATGAATTACATATGCTAGAATGTTTTCCTACTATATTGCTGGACACCATGTAAATGGGCTAATAATTAGATTTTTATTTATAAATTAATATATTAGAGAATAAGTTAAATAAATATTTTTCTAACAATTCAATAACAAAATATATTATTAAAAAATCTTTATTTTTCAAAATTGCAATTACTTAATACATGAAATGTGTATGTATACACAAATACATATATATATATATATATATATATATATATATATATATATATATATATATATATATATATATATATATATATATATTAGGTCACAGGGAATAACTTGATTAGTTACAAAACAAATACTTGTCATGAGTTATGTATATTGTGATCATCTTTCAAGCCTGCATAATATGAATGTTTTAACTCAACAGTTCTCTATAGACTTCAAAAAGATTAAAAGCTGTGAGTTATAAAACTTTTTCATGGAGTGCAGAAGGCTTCTAAAATGATCACAGTACATATGAGTGGCTTCTTATCTAAGACGGACATTTGTCATTTTCAGAAAGTGGAGGAAAAGTCAATTTTTTATTAATAGATTCAACTTTAACTGTTTCTGGTGATTTTATTTATGACTATTCAAGTTAAATCTTGGAGGGGGGAGGGAAATCATCAGTATTGATTAAAATTGAAGCTATGTTACAGAAAATTGGCTTTTTCTCAACTTTTTTTTAAATGAGGGATGTCAGTCTTTCATATGAGACCACTCATATAACTCTACAAATAAAAATAGGGCCAGTTTTCTGAATAACAAGTACCTGTGACCATAGACATAACACTTTATTAATCACAATTTCTATTCATGATTTTAACTACTAAATATGCTTCGTGTTCCAAATGGATTGGCCAAAACACTTTTTGAATTAAGCAAATCATATTTAGCAGCATTTATCTTAACACTAGACACTACCTCTTCTGCTGTTTTGTTTTGACCATAATAGTCAACAAAATCACCGTCTGGACTTACTAGATATATTATGATAGTATGGTCAACCTGAAAAATAAAATATCCGTTATAATATGTTAAAACACAATGAAATATCAGACATGTCTTTATTTCTCATGGCTGTGGTTGTATAGCTGATAGCAGTTAGATCCCAGCAAGGGACTACTTACACTTCTAACTGTTTCAACTTCCACACTCAGACCAGAATAAGTCGTTAACCTGTAAGATAACCAGCTCTACCTGTCATCAAGAGTAAATAAACCAAACAAATTTATCTCAATCATTGAAGGTATGTGAATTAATGTAATATGACTGCTGAAGAAGAAAATTTTAATCTATATTTATTAATGTAATAGGATAAAAAGTAAAAAAGATGGTTAAAATAAGAAAATAATCAATCTTCTAAATTTTCTGTTAATCTGAACATAAGAAATCTATATTTTCAAAACAAGAGGAAAACATTATTGTATAAAATATCATGGAGTTTAGCAATATGAGGCCACAGGTAGGCCTGACTAGTTTCCCCCACCAGTACCGGTATGTATGTATATATCCCTTCTTGACTTATATAGCCATGCATTAAGCCAAAAAAATATATTAAACCTGTACCACTACAACCCATGAAGGGTCTGGGGTTCAGTACTATTTAGGGAAAGTACTGTTTCTAGGTCAACTGTTGTGCATGGAGGTGATTCGACCGAAATCACGCTCAACCGCCAGGTTTTCCCCCTTAATTAATTATTCAATTAAGGGTACTCACTTTATAGAGGCTGGGTATGCCCCAGGAGGGACTCTCAACCCAGGGTCGCCCCATGGTCAATGAAACAGATAAATAAATTTTCTGCCATGAGCCGGGGTTCGAACCTGGGACCTTTGCATTGGAAGCTCAGTGCCCTACCACTAAGCTACCCCACTCCCCAAAAAAATATATTAAAAAAAACATTTCCTGGCTCTTAGGAGTGATGATTTTTTTAATTGAGCGATAAAGACAGGGAATCTCATGAAGAAGCAAAGGATCTCAGTTTCGATCCTTAAATACCTATATGACACTAATAAAAATAATTAAAAAAATTAAGAGGTTTCGATATTGGTTAGCTAAGTGATCGAATTGAGACAAATTGAGCTTAAAAAACTTCGACGCCGACATCAGGATCTGGTTAGCTTCCTATCGAACGTACCAAGCGTTTTGAAGTTCAGAAAATGTACAGTTTTCAAGATATATAACTTATTTTTTGTTGTTTCTTATCCTACATTTATTTCCATGATGAATGGCACATGGGCGTTTTACTGTATATTTTTTATTATACTGTAGTGGTTTAAGTAACACTAATGAAACGAGTAATAAAATCAATTTCCATTAATTTAGGATAATGGCCTCTCGAGTAAATATTAAAAAAAAAATCTTTCATTTCAGTACCAGATCTAGATTGATTGTTATTATCGTGATTATACGTTTTTATTAGTTTGTATTATAGCAACAATGTTTATACCGTGAACCATGATTTTTTTTGTCAAGGATTGCAATATAATACACACGCTATATCAGTTCATTTTTCATGTATTTTTGTGTCCCTACTAAAATATACACTATACTGTACACTATTAGTTCCCTTTTCCAGCTCCTAGTAGCGATTAATAATTTTGATGAATAAGGTATCAAGCGAAACAGAATTTCATAGAAGACAAATTTGAAGAAAAGACAAATCTTAATTTAGATCCACAAATTAGTACTTAAACTTTAATAAAAATTGATGAAAAGTTGTTGGAGTGTTCAGTCAAAAATTAACAAATTAAAAATGAATATCATTTATTTATTTTTAATTTGTTTATTTTTTGCCTGAACACCCCAACCAACCTTTCTTCAATTATTCACTACAGTCAACAATCATATCACTATTTTTAGTAAAAATATTTGAAAAAATAGGGAGTTTTGAAACTCAAATATTTTCAAAAGTCAACGGTTCGAGATCAGCTAAATTTTCTTTTAAATATTCTGAAGCGGATATCAAGACCCAGTATAGTTGTGAAGAAATTATCCCAGGCCTTGTATTATAAAACTCTCAAATATAATGTCTTCAAGATATATCTTAATTCTTGCCAAAAATTTCTTACGTGATAAAGAATGACATAGGATACTTATAACATGATAGGTTTTAAAAATTATAATTTTGATATTTATTCTTCGACAAACTAAAATTCAATTGCAAAAATAGGTGGAAAATAATGGTTCTGTGGTCATTAAAATGAAACTTTTTCATAAATAAAAAAACTACGTCATACGCTTTAGACCACACGATAGTATTGAAAACACAGGCACATTGATGATGACCAAACATGGCAGATTGACGACTTGACTTGAGTTAATTATTTGGTCACTGAGATTCCGCAGTTGTCTTAATTTCGTCACAATTGATCACTTATTAAAGCTCAATAGTCAGACAATAACAAAACATCAAAGGATTTTTAAAATAATTGGCCTTGGCAGTAAATTCAATTTTTTCAAGTCATTCAAACGTAAGTTGAAAATCACGTGTCATTTTTAATAACGAAAAACACCTTGAAATAAAACATCTAGAGAATACATTGATCTTTCTAAATCACAGATTAATTTGAAACAGTTTTTTAGAAAATCCACTTTATAGCCATCTACAGTCCTTTGCCACCTCATTCGGTTCTCATAAATGGTATAGCTATAGTGATATTCTTTTCATCTCTTTATTATATATTTATTTCACCAAATATGTTTCCATCAATTCTTTGTTATACTTTAAAAGATTTTGAATCTTCTCCACAGTGATCGCAGCATTTCTTTTTTCTTGCAATTTTTTCTTCTATGCTCTTTTATATATTTTGATATGATTTGTCTCTATATCAAAGCATACTCTGCTCTCTGAAATTAAATTTCTGAGTCGAGAGTTTTGAAAGATCCGGTAAACCCTTTTTTTACTGCTCGCTGGTTTACTAGGAAGATCGAACGCAATTAATGGCTTAGGTCATTTTAGCTCACTTATTTTATCAATTAGCTTATAATATTAGACTAGTAGGCCCATGCGAAAAATTCGCACAGCATCTTGTTATCAAATGCCAAATTAATAAGAATAATAATGCAACGTATCAAAAGATAAATGAGTCAATTATTACTTTATCGACAAAGGAAACAAAATTAATTTAAATCTTCATTTTTGTTTGGAAGCGACATATTTACAAATTTCAATAAGCTGCATCTTTGCAAAAAATTGTCCGATTACAATGATTTTTTTTTCCTTGTGTAGACAATTTAGTAATGTTTTATATAATCATGGGAATAACCAAGGGAAAAGTGCATAATTTTTTAGTTATTCGCAAATAAAGTTTCATTTCTTTCATAACTTGTTTGCCTGAATTTTCGGGGTGATTGCACTATTTTGCCACCTGAAGAAGGAAGCCTTCATAACTCCTCAGGATTTTCTCCTAATTCAATGTATCTATAATCGTTGGAAAGCTGAGTTATTATTCTTCAACACCATATCAATAACTTTTAGATTTCATGTGTTTAAAAACAATAAATAAAGAAAAATTCCTCAAAGGTTTTTGTTTTATATCTCTAGTTCTATTATATTTACAGGGGTCTGGTTTGTGTCATTTCGTGTAGCTTATGTAGTCCTAACTTAATGTAAATTTTAGTGTGGATACGTGGAGTGATTTTTATATCATCCCACTTTTGTGGTTTTCGACAGAAGATTGAAGGGGTTGGTAGCCTTCGTTCCAATTTGGTGTAAAAAAAAAAAAATGTTTTGATTTCTATGGAAATTCGTATTTGAGGTTTTATAGAGGTGTGAAATACAAATCTCAACTCTGTTTTCCTTTAAAAAAAAAATTTGAACCCACTTTCCTCCTTTGGTCAGTACTAATTGTTTCATCGTTGTACTGATAATATTGCTATATACCAAATATATAGTTATTTTCAAATAAAATGGGCTATAATAGAACTCTCCTAGTGAATATTAATCGAAAATACGAAAAAATAACCAAGGGAAAAGTGCATAATTTTTTAGTTATTCGTAAATAAAGGTTCATTTCTTTCATAACTTGTTTGCCTGAATTTTCGGGGTGATTGGACTATTTTTCCGCCTGAAGGAGAAGGAAGCCTTCGAAATTGGTGGCTCAATCTTGAGACTTGGTGAAGAATTAACGATGATATGGCTTGCAGATCAAAAACACCAATGATAAATAGAATAAACTCCTCCTGTCTTGATCATAGAGACCTCAGGTCGACGAAATGAGACATGTATCCAATGACAGTACTACAGTTAACGTCAGGTTGTGTGGATGCGAACCCTATGCCTCCCATTATCTCAAAAATAGTAAGTTTTTGGGCTTAAAAACGGGTCTTTCTTTACGCATCAAAATCTTCAAGGTCCAATTTGTCCCGCATCAATCTACAGACCTATGTATTGAAGCCTAGCAAAATGTTTGTATCGACTTTATTTATTTTAGAAAGAAAAACAAAAGTGGAGAATACGATTCGCTAACCCCCCATGAAATTCTGAATCCAATGGTACCCCATTCATGGTATTTGAGCATGACAGGAGCTTATATTTGGTACAAAATCGATTTCGAGCCTTACTGTAATAATATATGTGAGGATTCACATAATTCAACATAGGGTTTCTATTTCTAATTATTTATAGCCATTCCTATATCTATGTATCCTACTTCTTCAAAATAATAAATTAAATAAATGTTTACTTCACTAACTCTTATATGGCAGGTTATTGAAGACATAAACATGAAAATTAGCTAAACATTTTAAAGTTTAGTAAATTGCACTCACTTCATTTATAATTTTTGTATGCACTTGATGTAAATGTTTGTTAAATAATTTTTATATTTCCATTTCAGTCTTCGGTAGTGCAAAGTGGTCTCCCCTCACCCATTAAAGCTTTCCCCTCCCTCACTCCTTCAAAATATTAAAATGAATAAAAATTTACTTCACTGAATCATATAAAACAGGTTATAGAAGACATAAAGAAAATTGCATATGATCAAACACAAAAAATTTCCAGAACTTTGAAAACCTGTACCTCAAAAATGATCAAACCTTTTTGTATTGTAGCATATTTAATCTAGTTTAAAAATGCATAGAATGTTTTTTGTCGAAAACTTGCTCCTTCACGGTCAAAATGGGGAAAACCCAGAGAAAAAAAAATGCAACAATATAGTTTTTGAGAAAAAATGATCCGCGGTTGGGAAGAGAGAGACGCCGAGGTCGAAAACTTGGATTTTTCTTCTCAGTCACACCCTATACAAGAAAAAAAAAAATATACCCCCATTCAATGCAACTTAAGATTCCTCTGTTCATGACAAGGTTACTGGTCTATATGGCTGAAAAGCAAACTAGTTTTTAAGTAACAGTTCACTAGCCGATAAAAAAGGCATCGATCTATTTTCATTGATTTTTTTCTAAAACTTTACCCATCATAGGTAGCATTTCAGAGACCTAATTGAACTTGCAATTTTTTTATTTATTTTTTTAATCTGAACTAATTTAGCCATTTTAATTCAATTTGTGAGAATTGTGTTCTTATAAAGAAATGTTTGTACTTAGGGTTAATATCATGGCCGAGAAATTTCTTACTATTAACAATTTCTTTTATTTAAGTGGTTAATCATCAACTATTTAAGGTGGATTATATAAGTTTAGACACCACACCGTAACTGAAACATTGTGATGTAGGAGCGAGACACTGGAGGGTTCCTTGACCTTGTCAGTCTTTCTGCATCACTTTAAAGATGTTGTGTGTCTGCTTAACATGTCTTACCAAGTCTGGAAAGGATTGTGTAACAGTCTCTGACTTTCTAAGATGGAGGGAACTGAAAAAGTTATTCTGCAATTCATTGAAGTCCATCTCAGTTAAAATGTGTTAAGGATACAAAACATTCTACTTTAATAAAATTAGAAGCAATTGTATAAAAATTCAGGATCTTCTTATAATTTATAGCCTTATATAGTAATAAAATATATGGTCTTCTTCAGGGAGGTGTGTTCAGCTAGGAGTTTCATTTAAAACTGAAAAAACAATTTTAAGTGAAACTCCTAGCTGAACAGAAGTCCCTGAAGAAGAACTGCAAAGTCTGGTTGAAACGTTGGCTTTTATTAAAATAGTTTTGCCACTATTTAGCCTATTTATGACCGCCACCCTGGACCATCTCCTTCCTTTATAATGCAACGGTCAACTATTAAATATCCAACATAATAAAATATAAGTTTTATATTTTGACATAATTGTATGTACGAAGGAAAAATATTTTTGTAACTAATTATTACTTGCACTTATCTATATATGTAATATATGGTGAGAGAAATTATTGCGACCATTAAACTTTTAAAATCTGAGTTTTCAACAGAAATACATGTTTTGAGGTCCCCTGAGTCTAAATAACTCAAGCCCCTCAAAATGGTCTGTGAACAGTCTAGCACAAAAACAAAAATTTGTACACAACTGAAACTGCATATTTAAGGTTTGTACATGCCTGGGATGTTAGGGGAACTTATAAGTCAAAATCGGATAACCAGAAGTGCCACTTTATATAATTAATTTTATTGATTTTTGTTATTTTCTACAAAACGGCTCCAACGATTTTGATTAAATTCATTATACCAGTGTAAAATTAAGCAGTTTTTATTATAAAGTAGGTCTTATTTTCATTGATGTTCCCTGATAGGGTTTAAATGCCTAATTTTCAAAATTTCTTCCTCTGAAGTACCTTTAATTTTTTTTATTTGAAATAATTAACTATTTCACATTGTAAACTGATATAAAAAAAAAAGGTTAAATATAATGAAGAAAACTGATTATAGAGTGAAGAAAACTAATTGGTAACTAAGGGAGAAATAAGGGTTGGAAGCTATACCGAAACAGCCGAGAGCGTCCGACCTTTGCCGATCCTCTCCCTTTACAGATACCCAATAACCTTCTGTACAGGGCTTTCATACTGCTAGTTTTAACTTTTATATATCACTTTTCCAAAACTTCCTAAAAAGATTTCGTGCAAAATGTTAAAAATGTACTAATATAAACCTAATAATATACAATATTTACTAATGTTAAGTTATTTTTTCGATGAGTTTCGTGATAAATGTTTCTGATAAGACTCTGAATTTTTCCAAAAAATCTTTTTTTTCCCCACAATCATTACTAGTGTTTGGTACTATACACAGTCTCAACTAATATATATACAATTTGACATAGCAAGTTTAGTTTTTGTAAGGTGCAATTATACGTTTTATATGCTGGATGATAAAAAGAATGAAATTCAAAATTGTGAATGAAATAAATGGAGAAAAGGAAAGAATGTGAAAAATATGATTGCCTATAATAATGATAATATTTAAGCAAGATAAACAATTAAAACTATCAAATTATCAGCTACTACTTTCATTTTATTAATGTTCCATTTATCTTGAATAAAACTTAAAAACAAAAAATTTGGGTTATTTTTTTTTTTTTATCCCTGTCCTTGTGGTTTCTAGTTATATTTAGAAAAGGTTTCATCAATCTTCAAAAGAGCCAAATTATAGAAAGGAGAGAAGTTAGTTTTTGACATACCTACATCTGGTGACAAAACGCAACCACTTCCAGTTGGCAGACTTTTTTACTTTCACTTACCTATATCTGTAATATATAGTAAGTGTAAGTCTTGCGGTCGTGAAATTTTTTTAATCTGAGTTTTCAATGGAAATAAACGATTTGAGGTTCCCTGAGTCCAAATAACCAAGTCCCGAAAAATGGTCTGTGTGTGTATGTTAGCAGTCTAGCTCAAAAACAAGAAGTCGTACAAGACTGATATTACATATTTCAGATAGGTATTTGCCTTAGATGTGACAGCAACTTTTTCCTTAAAATCGACTAACCGGAAGTGCCACTTTATATCAACGCTGAAACACATTTTTATAATTTTCTCAAAACGGCTCAAACGATTTTGAATTAACTCGGTGTATCATTGTATAATGAAGTGGTCTTTAATATCAATCAGGTCTTATCCCCGTTGATGTCACTTTACAGGGCTCAAATGCCAATGTTTATATACGGCTTTACCTTTAATATGGTTTATTTTAAATAATTAATCATCTCTCATTATTAAAAGTCACGAAAGAATGCTAAATATAACTTTTGAAAGAATTTGAGAATTTAATAAAGGAGAAAAAAAATAAAAATGCTTATACAGGTCGAAAATGAATCTCCAGAAATACAAGTCAGAAGGTATACTTATAATATATCGTTGGAAAGCAGAGAATTTTAGATAAAAAAAAAACAATATCTAATATAGACAGTTGTAGAAGGTAACCGAGAGTGGCAAAACAAATATAAATAATAACATGTTTTCAAGGAAATTTTCTTATTAAATGTAAATTTTTAAAGTTTAAAAAATCATTAAAAACCTATGGATTCAAGGCAAGGACATTGTTTAAGATACTATTTCATTATACCTGTGTAAAAGAAGAAGTGAAATATAAAAATATTTCATGGATACGTTTATAACCTTAAATATATTTACTGATGTTTAATAATTCTAGATCTGACATTATATTTAAATAATTAGGTATCTATCGTCCGTTTATTCCGAAAAATCATTATGCAACCTTTTTTTTAGGATCAGGGCAAACTAATATTATAATGAAAAGATTTCATCCATTTTGAAATAAGTCAAATTTGGAAGCAAAGAAGTTGGTCTTCCACTTATGTGGAATCTTTGACACGTGTCAACTGACAGAATGCAACCACTTCTTGTTAGCCAGACTTAAGTTGTTTTCTTTTTCTCTGGGTGGAATAGATTTATTTAGAAAAGGTTCTATTATTGGCTCTTTCTTCAAAAGAGCCAGGTTTTAAATTTAAAAAGTTGGTTTTGAATTATGTCTACTGACGGAACACGACCTCATGTGATTAGCAAGTCTAGTTGTTTTTTTTTTTTTGTCATTGGGTGGACGAGCTTTATTTAGAAAAAGTTACATTTATCTTCAAAAAGGTCAAACTACGAGGAAAAAAAGTTGGCACATAATGAGGCAACATAACAGGGCATTTCTTCTTCACTTTAATAATAATTAAAACAAAAATAAATACTACAAAATAGATAGAACCTTAAAACTGCTTGTCAGCTTAAGGTAAGATATGGATAACTGTAGAGTGTGTAGATGGTATCTTCTAATAATATGGAACTGTCCTTTCTATTCTATGTTCTATGGTTGTTACAGCAACAGAACTGAAAGAGTACCTAATTCTCTTTTAAATAAACTAACAAAAATCAATTGTTTAAAAAAGAAGCAATAGCTAATAAATTGTAAAACATATAAACATATAAGAAGGAATATGAGAATTTTTATGTATAGATCTTACTATGTAGTCATCATCTTCATCCTTGGGACCCTGACTAAAATATACTCTATAACTTTTACATGCTTGAGAAACTTGTTCTTTACTTCCTGTAAGGCCAATAATTCTGGGCGAAAATTCTTTAATATATTTGGCTACAGCATTAGCATCATCTCTTTCTGGATCAACTGAGATAAATAGTGGCTGAACATTTATTTCCTTACCCTCATCTTAAATAAATAAAAATTGAAAAAATATTAGTAATGGTAGAAAGTTTATGTCATACAGTAATGCATTACTTATCAACAAACCCAGTAATAGCACAATATTGGATAATTTTTCCATTTCTTCTGGACAAATGTCAGGACAATGGGTAAATCCAAAATATATAAGTAGCCATTTTCCTAGAAAGTCTTCACTTGTCACCGGTTTTCCATTATGATCTATCAGACTGAATTTTCCACCTATTTTGGCTTTTCCTAACTGTTTTTTTCTTTCATGAGCTAAAGCTAGAAAAACAGAAAAGATGAATATGATTGTCTTTCACAACTAGACAGCATTAAGCAGAAGGAAACCAATCCACATTGCACATATTTTGAGAAAACTCAAGTCAAAGCTAATGGCCTGGGAACAAATGTAATCTTTAAAATAAGTATATTTTCTTTTCACTCTTTTCTACTTCAAGCACACAAGTGATGCTTTCTTCTTTCCATTTTCGCCTCTCTTATAAAGTGTCGCTTTACGATACGATTTTCAATATTTTAGTTCAAATCTTAAATAAAACTCACAGTTTTATCAGTTGGCTATCGACACAATTTTTCCATTTTCTACTCTTTAATTAGCACAGCATCGCGTTAAGATATAATTTTGAATAAAAGTTTATTACAAAGAGGGTGCAATGCTGAACATTTAACTTGCTTCGAGTATGCAGATCAGGTGTATGTTCAACCAAACTTGTCCCCTTTTTCCCTTTTGCCTCTCTAACACGGTGTCACTTTAAGATTTTGAAGTTTTGAGTAATAGCTCATTTCAAAGAAGATAAAATTTTGAACATTTCCCTCACAGTATGCAGGTCCAATTTTTAGTTTTTGAAATATTTTAATCCAAACGCAAAAAAAATTCTAAAATTCACTGGTGTGCTTAAAGTAGAAAAGAGCCTTTCTTTTTGTTAGAAACCTAATTTTATTGTACATTTCATCTACCGTCAAGATATTGCTATTATATCACTAGATTGATGAAGAACTAACTTTATTAATCTATTCCCAATATTTTTTTTTCCAACTTCAATTTTGTATTGAAGATACCTGAACCAAGAGATGGTTCTTTTCTGTTGAAAATGTTAAGCACTAATCCCATTCAAAACAACATCTAATCCATTTTTGTGTATGTTGTGGATTGACTCTTATCTCCTAAATGCCATCCAAATAGAAGTGAAATCTTTTTAAGGTATAATTCCAATGAATAATTAATAACAAAGACATGTAAGATAAATGATACATAAATTGAAAAATGAAACAAAAAATAATTCAATTTCAATTTCCTGGACAACAGGTGAGAAACACAAACAGTCCAATCAATTTTACAACAACTTTCCTTTAAAGAATTGTTAGCCCTTAGTTTCTTCCCTCTATCCGCATACTTAAGCTTTAGAGATCTAATCAGCTCAAAATGATTAACAAAATTAATGTAAAAAATATTCAATTTTTTTTCTGCAACCTGTCATGTATTATAATCAATTAATTATGAAAATATACTTTTTATTTTAACATATGTCTATTTTAGGCCATAGGTCACCAAAAAAAAAGAACATTTTTTTTATTTCCTGTCTGTTTTATTCAACGTTTCGGCTTCAGGAGCCATTTTCAAGAACCTGCAAAACTAATTTTAATTTGTTTTTTACCATTCAAGTACAGCCTCAGACAATAAACTTGTATCATCCACCTACCATGCACCGCGCCATAAAATTTTTAAAATTTGTCATTACGATATGATTCATCCTAATTCATTCTTTTATTTCAAAGAATGTCGTTTTCCGTTTCTAAAAATTGTAATATATAATTAATAAATTAAAAATAGACTGCTATAATTAATTTAAAAAATTTTTAATTTTCGATTTATATACCTCTATTTGCAGACGGTATCAAGAAAGTATTGTTCTTCAATAGGGCATTCATACAGGACTGGATTTACTTACATAAGGAGTGGGGTGGAGGGATTAGGGATCAGCTGTTTTATATCAGTATGTCATATATTAATTTTGTCAATTGTGCTAGCATAAAACGTGTTTAAATTACAAACATCTGTTTGTTGATTCACTGAATGTTTTAGATTTTTAGTGATAAAAATGGATTCAATGATTCTACGTTTCCCAATATTTTGTTCTCTATGCAACACGGAAGCAGTACCGAAATCAAATTTATGTCCATTTTTTGTGGTATGCTGCGATAATCCTGTGGCTAATTTTGATTTTGTCATTTTAGACCTGCAATTTTGTCTATGTTGCTGTATCCTACGTTCAAACCATTGTGAGGTTTGTTCGTAATATGCTTTATTTTCACAATCCTGGCATCGTATTTTATAAACAATATTAGTTAGTTTTTCTATTGGAATAATATCCTTAGTTCTACTATATAATTTATCTAATTTATTAATAGGTTTTTTCCCAAATCTGATTCCATTTATATCATATTTTTTAAAAGTTTTCAATTTTATCAGTTAAACCTCTAATATAAGTGACCGAAAAGTATTTTTTGGGGTTGGGGTCTGCGTTAATATTCTTATTTTTCTCATTCTGAAATTGCAGATCAGGATTTTCTTTGTTATGCTTATGTTTTTCAGTATTATCTACTTTAAAATAGTTTGTGATTAGATTTGCTTTTTTATTTTGGGTCTTGTTTTGATACGTTTTTATATTGGTATTGATGTTTGGACCCTTTATTTCTTTATAATTATCTATGTTTTTTTCTCTTTTATCTTTGTGCCATAATTATTTATCAGTCTTATGGGGTACCAATTTTGGAGTAGAATTTCATATATTTGTGTTTTTACTTCTTTAATATGTATTTCGTCTGTAATTAGTTTGGCCCTATCTATTAAATTTTTAGCTGTATTAATTTTATGTTGTGTATTATGGTTACTATGCCAGTTTAGTATTCTATTGCTCGTAATAACTTTTTTACACCACGATGTTTTTAGTATCCCTGCTTCATTTTTATTTATATTCATGTCCAAGAATCTAATTTTATTGTTTTCTTCCACTTCATTTGTGAATTTAAGTTTATCAGACAATGAATTTAATATGTTTAAAAAAATGTTTATTTCATTTTTGTCTATAATCGTCAGGATATCGTCAACATACTTTATAAAAATCTTAGGAATTTTATTAAATTTCTTTATAGCTTTATCCAACAGGCTATTTAGGTATATGCCGCTAAGATTAATCGATACAGCTCCTCCCATCGGCAGTCCGTTTCTAATTTTAAAGAAATTGCTATTGTATGTGAAGTATCCGTTGTCACAGATTAATTTTATCCCCTCCATGAACAGTGTTTTATTTTTAATCGTCGTATGGGGTTCGATTTCCTCCCAATTTGTTTCCAATATCTTATATAGTTCTTTAAGGGGAATATTTGTAAAGAGGGATTCCGCATCATAACTGACTAGGGATTCATTATCTTCAATTTTGTTAACATTATTCATCTTATCTTTAACTTCCCTAGAATTTTTTACGTCATATGTATTTTTATTATTAAGACTATTTAGTGCTGGATTTAAAAATTTTGCTAGTTTTTCAGTTATCCCATTAATATTATTGACTATTGGTCTCAGTGGTGTGTTTGTCTTATGTATTTTACTCAGACCATATATATTCTCAGAATGGTATAGTGTCTATTAATTAGTTTATCTTTATATTTGTCTTCAATGTATTTATTTTTAATTAGATTGTTGACATAGTGTAGTAATTTATCTTGTATCTCACTTGAGGGGTCTTTTCTAAGTAGTCCATATATTTGACGGTCATCGAGTAGATTATACATTTTATTATTATATTCTGATTTTGAAATGATTACTGTCTTTTTTGTTTTATCCGATTTGATAACAAGTAGTTCTGGGTTGTTCTTAAAAAATTGTTTAGTCTCTACTATATCTTTATTAATTTTAGCATGTAAGGGGTTAGTTATATTTAGTTTCCCCTTATTGTCTAGAAATTGGTTAATTTGGTTATTAACCTTATTTCGAACTACGTTCTTATGATTCTCAGAAGTATTAATAGATCTAATAATGTTTTCAATATCAGCTATAATATTCATTATTTCTATATTATATTTATTGGGTATTATGTTGAATTTTTCTCCTAACGATAATACATTTAGGATATTCACAGGTATATTTCTGTTAGTGGCATTACAGTCCAGCCCTTGGTATACAATTCTTCTTAAGAATTTAAAAGCGTGTTATGGTTTGTTGCATATGTATTTATTAGACTCTTATCTACGTTTTGTGATACGATGCTCAGGGTGTGGTTCTTTATCACATCATTATATGGTTTATTTATCCGGACTATATAAGGTCTTTCAACTTTATTGTTCAATCTTTTTCTATGATATTCATTAAATTCTGATTTAAAATTTTCTAGTAATTTATTCAAAGCTTCGTGTATTTGCGGATTATTGTTATTTAATTTATTAAAATATTCAATATGAATTTTATTGTAGGTATTGAGTGCCCAGTAGCATTGTTTTATCTCAAGTGTTAAGCAATCCATCGCTAATTTATTAAATAGATTTGTTGATAGATGATCGATGATCACACCACAAATGAAATATGGATGATGGTTGAGTGTGTCTGAAATTAGACAGCACTGTCTAATAAGGCCCCGACCTCGACTGTAAAGGACTCCTAAGAGTTTGTTCATAAATTTTGTATGAGTGGAACTCAAAAGTAGTGATCTTATTAAAGTTTATACAAGTAAAATTGTCTCAATTTAACTGAAAAGAGTCAGCAAGAAATTGGCTGAAGTCATAAATCGTGATCTACATAAAGGGAGGTTATGCTGTGAAAACATCAGCTATTCTCAGAATCGCAACATAAGATTTTAGTCCATTGTCCAAGAGATAACTTCACACTTGGACACTTAAATAGGTGAGAAGTGCAATTAATGAGAAGTGCAAAAGGTGGAACCTACGCACTTCTCAATAGGGAGATGAGTTCCACGAGCAGGCCATAAGAGAGGCAGCATCAAACTGTTATGATGAATGTTATGAGGAAACTACTCAGGAGGGCAAGATACGCAACCAGTTGGAGATTAAGGTGCAGTCCCATCAGTAAGGCGCACACCCGTGCACCGGGCTGCACAATAAAATAAAATAAAGCATTAGTATTAAGAGTATTGGCAGCAGTAGCGGTACGTATTCCCAACGTATGAACGCACTGCTGAAACCTCGTATGGCAAAATTGACAGGAAGGGTGTAAAAAAAAAAAAAAAAAAAAAAAAAAAAAAAAAAAAAAAAAAAGACACTTATATAGGAGTACCAATGTCTGGATCCATCAACTAAGTACTTATTTGGACCTATTCAGCAATGTTTGGCATTCCAAGTACAGTATGTTTATATATCACCCAAACATGATGATAGTGAATTTATACCATTTTTGTCTATTATTCCAAACCATTTATCACAAGGTTTATTAAATTAATTAGGCAAAAAAACTATCTCTTAAATTTAAAACAAGAAATGGAGTGATAACAGACCTTTTTCCTTTTCTCCTTTTAAGTATAGCATAAAAGTAAGAAAACCACCACCTAATAATCCAGTTACAGTCAATGATTTCCATGTAACAGGGCTTTTAAGTGGTCCACCCTCCTTCTTGACATTTTTTGTGCTAAAAGATCTAAGCGATACGTTTTTAATGGTATTCTGTTTGATCTAAAAAAAAATAACATAACATCAAAAAAGTCACAATATAGATTTAAAACAAATCAATCAACCAATACTTACAGATATTTTCAGTCTTTGGCAAATACCTCGAACTAAAGACATGTTTACTTAATATGGTCACTCAAATTTGCAGCATCAAAAAATGAAGTATTATCAACTGCAAATTGAAGATCCTATTATGAATAAAACAAAAAAATTACTAACAGTCAAAGTTTCAAAAATGAAATTTCTGACGGAATAATAGATCAAAAATCAAATATTCCTGATGCAGAAAGCTTAGTAATTTTAAATCATAAATATTTGCAATCAAAGTTCCGTCAGAAAAACTCATCCCGAAAGTAAAAAGGAACTTCAACTAAAGATAAGTTTGAGACGATCGAAGAAGAGTCGTTCAAAGAGAAATGATAGTCGAAGAGAAGGATGTTTGGGGTGATCAGTCAAATTAAAATGGCAAAATAAATAATTGTATTTATTTATAAAAATAAAAATAAATTATTTATTTTTGCCATTTTAATTTGACTGATCACCCCAAACATCCTTCTCTTCAATTATTCACTACAGTCAACCATAAACCCACAATTAGAAATAATAGTCCATTACCAAGGTCTATAAAACTACCTACTAGGTAGTTGTAGTTAGTTACCACTGAAATATGATCGAAAACAGGCAATACAGCAAAAAACATGAGACGAATTTTTTTTCCCAAGATTAGCCATAGTTGAGGACGGATATCTCGAAAACTAAAGAAGGTAACGAAAAAAGGTACATAGATTTCGAGATATCCATCCTCAACTCAAAGTCTATAAAACTACCAGGTTCAGAAATCAGAAATGCGAGGTGGGAGAACTTGAAACGTGACTTAAGGAATAGACCACCAGACCTACCTATTAATCTTTTAATCCATAAAGGACTCAGTCGTATCGGGGGTGCCTTTTGGGGAATCAGATACCCAGCGACTAAGACCATTTATAAAGTGGTGTTGCAGGAAGACATGTTAAAGCATCAGATTTCAAAAGAAGGTTGGGCAGGTCTACCAGACAATCTCCGTGGGAAGATTAACCATGAACCAGGCAGATGGAAAAAGATAATACAAGAGTACACCCTTGACGAATGCAACCAGCAATGGGTAACAACTCTGAGAAAATATTTTCCCACCATCGGTTCCCAGTTAGCAGCAAAATGGGTGGAACCTGGTTATTGGGTCTCCCAACTACCCACTGGACACGGGGGATTCCGAGCAAAGCTTTTTCAATTTGGAAAGAATATCGATCCCTTGTGCCCTAGTTGCGGAGTCCCAGATACTGCCGGGTACATTGTCGTAGCATGGACTGCCTATGAGACACAGAGAGCCAAACTGCTGAGAGAAACCGGTCTCTACGTCTTGACTGAGAGAGATTTCCCTCAGTTCATGAATGCGGAAAACTATCCGCAAGTTAAAGATGATTTTATTTCAAAATGGAAATCCATTATAGGCCAACTCATTTCTCTTTGGGAAGAAGAGGAAGTGCACCGCCTGGAAGGCCGCCGGACGAAGGAGCAGAAGACCGTGACCAAACCTAAAGAAATGCAATCAAAATATGGACCCAGTTTATGAAATTAAAATATTGTTTTTCTAGCAGCAGTGTGTTGTTACGCAGAAACGCTTAACATCTCACTGCTGCTAAAACCCGTATTGCCTATCAGACATGGCAGGGATGTCAATAAATTAAATTATATTATTGTGTTTTGTTTTCTTATTTGATTTATTGAAAAGTATACTTTTCTGTGGTTTAACGTTTGATTGCAGACAATTTCAAGTAGATAAATAAACAAATACTGTAGCATATTCTAAATCTGATATATTGGGTGTTTTAGGGGAGCGTAAATTAGTTCATATTTTCTGTTACAATTTAATTGTCTGAATCATATTGTTTTAAAAAGAACAGATGTTTTTATGAGTTATGATGTAAAAAGTTTTGGATGATTTAATAAATGAATTAAAACATTTATTTTGAATTATATTTTAAAAATATAATAAATACGACTAGCGATCTAGAATAAAATGGTATGAAAATTACAGGCTAGACCTGAAACGAAAAGAACAAAATTGATATTAAGATTATTTTTAAATTCTTTATTTCAAAGTCATATACTGTAAAAAATCTACAAATATATTACATAAACAGAAAACAACGAAGATCTATACTTATTTCGAGAAACAAAACAACATTGTAGCACAATGTTTGTTTAGTTTCATTTGTATAAATCGCAATTATTTCTTTTAATAATACAACGATATTATAAGGATGGAAATAATTGTCAGAATTTGTAGTCGAAATTTCTTTAGACAAAAAATAAACTATCCTGATAATTTTTTTCATCCCTATAATTTTATATTATATATTACAAATGTTTTATATTACACCAATAAAGAAAATCTAAAGGGTCCCTTACACGGTATCCGGTTATAATCTTAAACCATACATACGGATCTTGAAAATCACTGGGCGATACCTAATTTCTTGTGCCCCTCTTGGCAATGTTAGGGTAGGTGGGTGATACTTTGTTTTAATATTTTTCTTTTTGAATAAAGGTCATCTCCCTCCAATTTTTTTTAAAGATAAAATGGCAATATGTTTGGTTAGGTGGGTGATACTTTGTTTGGTACTTATTGCTATTAAATAAGTACCCTTTGTTTTAACTCCAATACGGTATAGATGGCTTTGGAGATAGTCATCTCCGGTTTTCATCCTGAACTGTGCAACGGCCTCACTTCTTGGGTGATCTTCCATTCTCGTCTAGTAAAGATGCCCATTATTTCTCTTTTAACTCCAACTGCCGTTTCTGTTCCATTTCTTCAATGATTACTGTTATGATTAGCTCATTTGCCGTCAAGAAAGGGATTGGCATATATGGCTGATCTTTTCCGGCACCTTCTTATGCTAATCGGTCAGCATTTTCATTACCTGTCAATCCAGAGTGTCCTTGCATCCACTGTAGAACGACATCTGTGCCTTCTAAAATCAGCTTCTCAATCAATTCCCGGCACATACTAATTTGATTTGTGGAACAGGAGGAAGGATCTGAGATGGTAATAATTACAGCCTGTGAGTCCATTAGGACCACAACTTTCTAGGTTTTGCACTTTTTTATTAGTTCTAATGACTATTTTTAGAACTAATTAGACTGTAGAAAGACTGTTTTTACTTCACTGTCAAAGTTACTTACTAGCTTTCCCACAGGCTCTGACAATTGAAAATGTTCTGCATGAACACCAGCTACCTCAACCTATCTTGCTCTATTCGCAGAACTGTCTGTGTACACGTGTAACCATGGGGGACTGGGGTACCTCTCCCTTATGGCTTCAAAAGTTCGGAAATTCTACACCAATGATTTTGGACCAGATAACATCCTAGTTAAATTGATTCAAAAGCATTTGAATCAGTAGACCATAATGTAATCCTAACCAAACTCAAAAATATCTGCCATCTGATGCCCTTAACTGGTTTCAATCCTTCCTTCGTATGTCTTAGTTCTTAATAATCGTTCATCAGAATCTCTACTCTTATAGTAGATATTCTGATGAGTCGAGAAGAATCCCCCGATGCTGCATTTAAACCCCAGGAAGATATCAATATACTATGCGATTGGGCATATCTCAATAAGCTCTCTTTAAATGCTGAGAAGACAAAAGACATCTTGATCGGTTCCCTCTCACTCCTCTAGTCCATTATCGTACCTCCCAATCTTCTCCTGAACAATTCACCTATCTCCTTCCAAAGCGAGGTAAACGAAAAGCGAGGCATTGTACTATTTCCCTTTAATTGAATGGTTTTTCAACCACTATAATGGTAAAGTACAAAGGATTAATTCTATTAGTCTATTAAGTCCTTTCAGTAACAGGGCCTGAGTCTTTGCCGCCGCCATCTTCATTCGCTTTTTTCCGCACCATCCTTCGACTATGGTGGCGCACCTCTGTCCTTCCGCCACCAATCTCTCCCTGTTGTTCGCTGCCACAACGACGGCCAGCTCATCCACGTATGCTATGGCACCAAAGCCCGCTACCTCCAGTTCCCCCAGCAATTGGTCGAACACCAAATTCCACAGAGCCGGTCCCAGAACTGAGACCTGTGGGCATCCTCTTTCTATTTCTTACTCGACCGCACAGAAGGTACCCCTTATCTTGACTCTCCTGTTGCTGAGGTATCCCCTAATGAGGAAGTATAAGTTGCTGCGGGTATCGAACTGCTGGACGCGCTGGAATACGCAGGGCCACCATGCACTATCAAAGACGGAAGATATGTCAAACAGGACTATCATCACATACCTCTCCGCCCTGCCATCAACGTCCCTGGGTAATTCCATTAGCGCATATCCGGTGCCGAGCCCTTTCATAGATCCGTACTACCTCGGGTGACTAGCTGTCCGCAGGACTCTTCACTATGAGGTGCTCCAGGACTTTATTCAAAACAGGGAAAAGGCATCTTTACTCGGCCTATATGACTTTCTCCTATATGAGACCTATGAGACCTATGTGACTCTCTCCTTATACAGCAGTCTGAGGTCGGCGATCGTCCATTGTGTTGGGAAGTGCCCCCTAGCCAAACAAGCGTTTATTTCTAGTACTCTTCTTCTATGTAGGGGGCACTCCCCTTTAGGATCGCCGCGTCAATGGCGTCGAGTTCTGGAGCTCTTCCAATCCTTTGCCTGTCTATCGCCATCCGCAGGTCCCATTCGTCCCATGGTGGAATAAACTCGGTACTAGGCGGGTATTCTGTTGCCTATCGAAGAGCCTCATCAGACAGATCGAAACCAGACCATTGTATTGTTTTTTACTCTTCCTCATTCTCACATCCGAGCCAATCCCTAATGAACATTTTCCTTACCCTCTACTCTCTCCCAAACTAATTCCTTTTACATTTCGTACCCCTTATGTCTTCCTAGGTTGTCTCTGGGAGTGTGAGGTTACCTATCTTTGCAACGTATGCGGATTGTCATAAGTCGGTGGATTTTTCGTCATCAATCGCAGACTGGATATCACTGGTGACTTTTAATTTGAGTGGTAGAATAACCTGGTCGGAAACCTGAAGATACATTTGATTCGACTGTTCAAGGAAATTGGAAACTTGAAATTGTCTTGTTGAAGTCTTTCAAGGGGCTCTTTAACTATTACATTTGTATGGAATATACCAACCAGGAAACTGTCATTTCAAAATGTTAATTTGAGGAAAAAATACAAAATATAAACTGTATATATACATCCATACATAAATTGAAGAAATAAAAAGAAATTAATAAATAGTTGTTTCAAACAGATTTAGAAGATTGAAGATTTAGAGACACTAAATAGGAACTGAATGTACACATCTAAAACCAACGGCAACCAAATTTTTAATCATTGCTCTATGGTATATCCTCTCCTTGCTATCTCTACGCTCGAATTTGTTGATGTGGCGTTAGAGGTCCCCGGTCAAGAACGTTTTAGTGATATTGTTGAGTAGTTAAATAACTATTATTGTGATTATGACTAAAATAAAAAAATATTTGTGCGTTCTATCAATCTATTCAGTTATTGCGATTGCGTTGTGTGAAGTTCCTGTATCTGATGTGCAAATAAAAAATATTGACCGGTCGATAGATATATCAACGCAACTATGTAAAGTAATGTGTAAACTTCAATTAGAAAATGTTGGTAAAACGGCAGTAAGCTCCTTTTTGTTTTCTGTTGAACCATCTTTTGGGTCCAAAGTGTCTTATATTAATGCAAGACTGTCTGACATAACTAAAAGTGTGTTGAAGATCAGTGTATCAGAGATTAAAAGTAAAGAAGAGACTTTGCTCTGGAAAATTGATTTGAAGGATAATTTAAATTCTGGTAAAACTGTAAATGTTGAAGTGGAATATATTCTTATTGATGTTGTGTCTCCTTTCCCAACATCCATAACACAAAAAGAAAAGCAATTGGTGAGATATATTGGTAGTCATTATGTATATTCACCTCATTTCATATCTAAGCAAACAACCTCTATTAATGTTGGAACTAAGAATATTGAATCTTTCACTAAATTACAGCCATTTTCTAGTGCTGATTCAATTATTACCTATGGACCATATCTGAAAATTCCTCCATATTCTGTAGATATTTTAGTTGTTCATTATGAAAATAACTCTCCATTTTTGAAGGTTTTGAAGCTTGAAAGACAAATTGAAGTTTCTCATTGGGGTAATATAGCTGTGGAAGAAACAATTGATTTGTTACATACAGGTGCTGTTCTAAAAGGTCCATTCTCCCGTTATGATTTTCAGAGAGAAGCACAAAGTGGCTTGTCAAGTGTCAAATCATTCAGAACAGTTCTTCCTTCTGCAGCTACTGATGCTTATTATAGAGATGAAATAGGTAATATATCGACGTCTCATATGAAGGTTTTGTCTGATTCTGTGGAACTTGACCTGCGTCCACGATTTCCATTATTTGGAGGATGGAGAACTCATTATGTACTGGGCTACAATGTTCCCAGTTATGAGTATTTGTTTCACATTGGAGACAATTATAAACTTAAAATGCGCGTAATGGATCATGTTTTTGATGATATGGTTGTAGAGGAACTTGTTACAAAAATCATTTTGCCAGAAGGCTCTGATAATATCAAAATGACTACACCTTACCCTATGGTTCGTCTTCCTAACACAAGACATAGTACTTATCTGGATACCAAAGGTCGCCCTGTAATCTCTGTAACTAAAAGGAATTTGGTAGAGAATCATATTCAAGATTTAGAGTTGGATTATGTATTTCCTAGAATTTTGATGCTTCAAGAACCACTTTTGGTTACAGTTGCACTGTATATTCTATTTATATTAGTAATTATTTATGTCCGAATTGATTTGTCAATCAGCAAAGATGAATTAGGAGAAAGTAAATTACGTGTTTCTGGTATTATTGATAAGTTATTACAACATCTTGATAAAAGAGCCAATATTTACTGTCAAATCGAAGATCAGCTTTCAAAACTTAAATCTTCTAAAGATGTAAATCCTTTTAATTCAGCCATGAAAACTATTAATCTTGATTATAAAAATACTACCACTCATATATCTGAACTTTCCACCAAAATTAAACCTGATGCTGCAGATGTAGCTGAAAAGTTATCAGAATTGCAGAAATTAGATAGAGATTTAAAGGAAATTTATGCTAAGAAACAAACTTTGTATGTTGAAAAACTTGCTTCTGGAAAAATTGGTAGGAATGCTTTTGTAGAAGCAGAATCAGTCATAAACAAAAAGAAAGATGAATTAATTGAAAAAATTAATTCAATTGTCAAAAATTTACATTAGAATATGTAAAATATTTGTTTTGTTCGGATGAGAAATTATTTGCAGAATTTTAAAATAATTCATTGATTGTTAAATAAAATTTTGTATTTTTTTTTTTGTTCATTTCATAGATGATATATTTCTATTAATTTGATTATGAGGTATAAACTGTTATAATGTATTAGATTTTAGTTTTGTTCCAATATTTTAATATTTAATTATGAATTTTCTCTTGTTTAGTTTTCTTCTTTTAAGTTCAACAGTTGTAAGGAATTCTAAGCTTTATTATTTATATTACCTTAATTTTATAGTAAGTAAAAAATCAATTTAATTAATAATGTTTTTTATTTATCTTGTTTATTTTCCTACTCCTTCACAATTATAACGTAATAATCTATTGCTTGACTACCTTCAGTTAGAAGATCAAGGACAAATTCAAGGAGCACTATGTTGAAACTTACCCTTTTGTTTTTCTATTACCCTCCAAATAAGTTAAAAACATATCAGCTTCAACTTAGCCTTGAATAAGTTCATCCTTGGGCTGCCATCTTACTGGTTGAAATAAAGCAGTATTCTGTTTAGGAATTCAGTAATTGTACTTTATATTAGTACTACTATTTGATTTATTAATGAGGATTTTAATTAATTTTGTAGACTTGTTTCAGATTTATTCTGATTATGAAGAGTATCTTATTGTATTTATTTTTTATGTAAGATCTTCTAACCCAGGCTGGTTTAATAATAAATATTATCTGCTGAATCTCTGGTTATTCTATGAACTTTTCAGTTGACAGAATGGCTTACTCCAATTTCAACATTTTTTAGTAAACTCATTTAAGTGATATTTGTAGTTAGAAAATTTATTTATATCTGTACAGGTGGTAATTTGATTGCAGTGTTGAAATATATAACTGTGAATAAAGGTATACATTTTTCCACTTGAAATATTACTAAAATTAATAATCTAAAATGATGAAATTGTAGTTAGTCATTCTATCAATTGAAAGGCTCATTATACTTGACTACCTACTGATGACCATTACATACCAAATAGAATATGGAATGATTGTGAATGTAAAAACCTGAATGGATTTTCTGAAGTGGTAAGAAAGGCAAGTGATTGTGCCATTTAAACTGATCATGGTTTAGTTGAATGTTCATGAGTGAGGCCTTGATTACAATATTATATAAAAATTCTGTTAATTTATACATGAACTAAGTTGTTCATTATAACTAGTATAAAATGAACAAACAATATTAATAGTTCAGTAATAAGATCTTTTATTATTTAAAAAAAAATATAAAAATCAAATTACTACTTTTACATTTATAAATATGGAAAACCTTGAGAAATAACTAACACCCTGATTAAACAATATATATATATATATATACACACATACATACACAATTGCTATGATATACAAGAGCAAGGATAGCATATAGTAAATGCCATAGGCCTTCGACTAAGGGGTCTTGATTTGGAGCCTGTTTTCATTTATTTTTTTTAATTATATACCTAAGCGAATTATATCATTATAGGATATAAACAGAGAAATATGCCAGTATTTAAAGGGTTGATAACAGATCATAAGAGCTCCAAATAATTCCTTGTTTATTATGGATTCAAGCTTTTCAAATAAGAACTTTTTTGTAAAAGGCATTAGGAGTTCGTTTATAGAGTGAAAAAATAGATTGGGAATAATCAAAAATTTTATGACATACAAAAAAGCATAGATTAACCACTTAAAGATGCTGATTTGATAAAAACAAAGACTCGTTGCATTTGAAGAAAATTTGTTAAATTTACTATAAAGCAATTATTAATTACTTAAATTGATAAATAAATGTTTTTACTTCATATTCATGAAAACAAAAAAATGTGACAATTGAACAAGAGATACAAAAATTAAATTTTTTGTGTGAAATCTGATCATTGTATAAATGAACTTTTTTGCAGTTTTAACATTTCTTACCATCCATTTCAATATTTTTCTTAACTTATGGGACATACCATATATCCTTCAAATAAAGTTATAATAAATACTATAAACAGCATTAAGAACCATAAGCATTAACATCCTAGTACCGCATACTACAAAATAAAAAAAATCATAATTGAAACATTACTCATGAACACTTAAATAATCAAGATTAATGGAAGAAGAATGTATTAAAATAATTTATTTTACATATGAAAATCATATTGTACAATTCAAAAATTTAACTGGCAGTTAGATGTGGAAACTAAAGCCAAATCATCTTGCTCCCTTTGTCCAGTTAAATTACTTTCAGGGGGAAGGTGTAGCTTTTGAATTATAAGTTTTTTCTTAACAATTTTAAAAGCCCAATCAATGTCTTCAGGAACATGTATTGTGAAGGAATTGACAGCAGATATTTTTGAAAACTTAATGAGACCACTAAATTCCTTCAGAGATGGGTCATTGATATTAATGAGAGACTTCAATGAAATTACTATATCACTTAATTGCATGCATCTATCAACTATTTGTTGTCTTAAAATGTTAGATGGAATTGTTACTAAGGCAACTGAACAAGAATTATGAACAATAGCCCTTAATTTAAATAAAGCTTGATAAATCGATTTACTTTCAATTTTCCAAAATGGTGAACCCAAGCTCTGTACAACCACTCTCATTATTTTCCTTGTATTCCTGGAGTTTTTAATAGATTTCCAGGATGAATTAAATTTTAAAATTTCTTCAATCAGTCCACTAGCATCATTTACAGTATGATTGCTTTTAGGCCAAGTAGTTATATCAGCACCTTCAATTTTATCCAAAGGAATTTTACTTGAAAAATCAAACTCATGACTAATTAAAGAATTTTTTATTGTTACTGGCTCAGGTAAAACTTGCAGGTTGCTTTTATATCTCCAAGCTATCTGTAGTTCCTCTGGAGAGGAAACTTTTTTCTCTTCCTTTTTGGAAATAGGTTGAGGTAACTCATTAATTACACTGTCTGGATTTTCATCTATAGATGCAAGAAAAACAGAATCATTACGAAGGATTCCTTCTGATAAAAAGCATTTTGTAAATATTCTTGAATAAAATCCAAATTCATCTTCCTCAATTAAAACTAGTGATCCCAGAGGAATTCCACTTCCTAATATTGCATCTAATGAAGAAATTCCTGTCGTTATGCTGATTAATGTTTTAGGAGTTACATGGGGCATTGACAGTCTTTCGTCTGCATTTCTTAACACTGAATACATTGTTCTTCTTAAAGGGTAAACATTGAACGACTGATCTTAACAGGACGGAGAAAAAAACAACGAAAATTTAAAATCACATATCAAGCTCTACTTTCATTATCTATCAAACATAATCATTATGAAGAAAAACTCATAAATCCACCTCACATGTATTGAAACTGAAGGTTATTTCTTTAGGGTTATAAACATTTCAATGAAGCAGTGTTGCCGCGCACTCTGTGACAAAACTTCGTACTGAAGCCTTGTACATCCTCGCACGGGCGGATCTACGGGGGGGGTGCTTTCGGGCTGAAGCCCCCCCCCCCAAAATGGTAAAACATAACCACGTTTTATGAGGGAAAAAATTAAAAAATACCTCTTAAAGTATTATTGTTGGTTTAATTACATTTAAAAGGACTTAAGGAATCACTTAAACACCATTTCTTATAGATAGTTAGTTTCTTTCTGTTTTTCCAAAGTAAATATCGTTATTTTTATGAAAAAAAAATCTTCCGGGCTGAAGCCCCCCCCAAAATTAAATCCTGGATCCGCTAGTGCATCCTCGTACGCTTGGCTCATTCATAGTAATAACTAGTACCACGGGCGGATCTACGGGGGGGGGGCTTTCGGGCTGAAGTCCCCCCCCCCAAAATGGAAAAATATAACCATGTTTTATGGGAAAAGAAAATTAAAAAATACCTCTTAAAGTATTATTGTTCGTGTAATTACATTTAAAAGTACTTAAGGAATAACTTAAACACCATTTCATAAAGGTAGTTAGTTTCTTTCTGTTTTTCCAAAGTAATTATCTTCATTTTTATGAAAAAAAAAAGGTTTCGGGCTGAAGTCCCCCCCAAAATTAAATCCTGGATCCACTAGTGACTAGTACTATTGTAAGCCCAATGTTATTGTTTTTTTTTATAGTAAAATTAGATCAGAGCTTTTTATTTTTACCTCTATTCATATATTTTAAAGCTGAGAAAGGAAGCTATGGCAGAGTTCTATGTGATCTGTCCAAATTGCAACCTATGTAATTCGAGAGCACATGTGGACGCTGAGCATTTAGGTGTTTGTTCGCACTTGAAGAACATAAGATATACCATTTCGTCCAAATACTGGGCTGCAGGATCTTTGATGGTGAAAGCCGATAAAGAGAGGCATAATTAAAAAAACATTTCTATCTATCGATCTAACGGCGCTTTTTTTTTTGTTCTTCCCTACCTCGCCTTTTTAGGCTATACGGGATTTTCCTGGGCCGGAGGGTGAGGGCGGGGAATTTAAAATCCCCTCCGGCACCGGGATGCGGACTCATACTTTTTAAATCTTCTCAAATGAATTTAGCCCATTCGGTCACCCCGCCCCCCCCCTCCCCCCGATCTAACGGCGCTATGGTCCTTGTGGGACCTTGGCCTTCTCAGTGATCCTCTTCCACTCTGATCTGTCTTTGGTTGCCCTTCTCCATCTGCCAACCCCCAACGTCCAAAGGTCCTCCTCTACATTCTGCAGCCAACGAATTATAGATCTCCCTCTGCACCTTCTTCCAGCAGAATGTCCCTCCATCACCATTTTTGGTAGTCTTCTACTTTCCATTCTTTGTACGTGCCCCAGCCATCTTATTTTGGCACCCTTAATCATGGCAATATCTGGTGTTTCATATAGATTTATAATTTCCTCATTTGTCTTCATCCCCCAGCGATCTCCTTCTTTTGTAGGACTAAAGATCTTTCTGGGGATTATTCTTTCCCACATGTTTAACAGCCTTTATCGTTGCGTGTCAGCGTCCCGGACTCGCTTCAATACAGGACCACTGGCTGAAGGACCGTACAGTACACTCTTATTTTGAGAGCTCTGGATATATCCCGGTTCCGAAATATTTTCATTAGAGACCAGTAACATCGATTGCCAGCTTCTATCCTCGCCATAATTTCTTCTCTAATATTATTATCCTCAGTGATAACAGTGCCCAAATACTTAAACTGCGGTAATCTCTCGAAACGATATCCAGCCCCCTCGATATGCCAGTTCTCTCCTTCTTCCTTGCATCTTTTTCATATAGTTAGTTTTTTCCATATTAATTACCAATCCTGTTCTATTAGCGGATACTTCGCACTCCTCGATTGCTTCAAGTAATGCACTGACTGTTCATACGGTAATCACAATATCATCTGCAAACGCTAGTTGTTGTGTCAGTCTGTGGTAGATATATCCTCCAGGTCTTGTCCGTATCGACCTCATGGCCGCTTCCAATACCATATTGAATAAAACTGGTGACAGGAGATCTCCCTGTTTAACATCTTTATGAATATAAAATTCTTTTGACAATTTGCCTTGAATTTTGATAACTCCTTTGCTACCCTGCAGGATCATCTTGATAAGCCTGATAAGCTTTGAAGGACATTCCAGATATTTTAACTTTTCATACATTGTACTTCTGTTAATGCTGTCGTATGCTTGCTTGTAATCTATAAACAAATGGCGCTGTTTAATATTCCATTCTCAGCATTTTTCTAGCATCATCCTCATGCAAAAATGTGGTCCATTGTAAATCTTCCATAGCGGAATCCACACTGGTAATCGTCCAACACCTCTTGACAACTCGCTTCATTAGCAAAGTGGACAGCACCTTATAGACTATGCATAGTAATGCGATTCCTCTACAATTCCCACAATCCAATTTGTCTCCTTTTTTATGGATCGGCAACATAACAGCCACCTTTCATTCTCTAAGTATTTCCTCTTTCATCCACATTAGTAGTACCAATTTATATATTGCTTTATGGAGTGCATCACCTCCAGATTTGATTGCTTCTGCTTGGACCCCATCAATTCCTGGCACTTTAAAGGAACATAAAGGGCACGGAGCAACAGACTTTGCCTCTAGCAAGAACTTGAAAATCTCAAGTACATCCTATCCACTTGGAAACATGGGTCTCGCCAGATGGAAAAATCAAGAACCAGGTTATTCATATAATAATTGATAACAGCCACCAAAGTGATATATAAGATGTGAGAAGTTATAGGGATGCGGATTACTCAACAGTTCATTATCTGGTAGGGATAAGATACAAACAGAGACCAGCCGTCAAACAAATCGCGAGAAACAACGGCTGTGTATAAAAAAAGTGGAAGGAAATCTACGAAACAATACACTTGAAAAAGAAGATGTACTGTAGAGTTAATGCATGCTATCTGGCAGCACTGTAGCTGTTCTAAACAAAGGTAGATTGGCTTGGGTGAGGTTACCCACAGATAGCAGTAGGTCATTGTTCCTGATAGTGTGATGTTTATGTTGAGGAATAAAGGTGTTTTTGTGATGTGAAGTTTATCAACACAGCCTCATTTGCTTCCTGAAGTGATTTCCTGACATCCCATAGTGGCATCCCTTGTGTGGGAAATTAAGGATAATGAGTGCTGAAGAGTTGAAAACTACCTAAAAGTTTACTTAACAAAGCCTCATTTGTTTCCTGAAATGATTTCCTAATATTGAACAATGTAAAATTAAGGATAATGAGTGCTGGAGAGTTGAAAACTGCCAAATTACATAGAGCTCAGTGGAGAAATTTATTTACAACTTTAGCTAATTAAGTTGAAAAGAAAATAGCTGAAAATGGTCCTGAGTTAAAAAGGAATTTAGAAAACTAGAAAAAAGAGCTAAACATCTATTAGATTTTGAAAAAATAGGTAAGAGCTTTGATACTAGTTGATGAAAACATTGATGAAAAAGAACTGGAAGATGAATTCGATGCATCCATAAGTTATCAGGTCAAGTGAATAGATATAAAAACTAAATTTGAGGACTTGGTTGAGCATTCAAATAAAACTTGGAATGGTGATGATATTTCAGCAACTATCAGTTCTTCAGAAATTACAGAAATTACAGAACAGATAGAAATTACAGAAAGAAAAGGAAGAAATACTTTTATATAATCTTTATGAGATTGTTGAAACAAGTAAAAAAGTAAAAAGGTTGGAACCAATTATTGAAAATTTTGTAGCCACAGAACCTAGGCTAGGTTGGACAGTTATTGGCCTAACTAAAACACAGGCCGATTCGATACTAAGAACACCTACAAGAGGAAGAACTTTACAGCGCTTTGACTCTAGTGCAAGTGAGTCTCACCATTCAGGGCAAGCTGGAATATCTTCGACCCATTACGATAGTTTACAAAGGAGTCGTCTAGATGCTGGCAATACTGAGAAGACCGGATCAGTACCAGTTAAGATAATAATTCCACGCATCATACAACCCCTTACAGTAAAACCATCTGTCACACCTGCAGCTCGAAACAATCTTTCCAGAAACATCGCAAGAGATAGTATCAGATCTGTTGTCAGCCAAAGGTCACATAATGAACCAGATCTTAGTCAGAAAAGTACAAGGAGAGGAGTACAAGTAACAACTTATGGTACGAATAATTCTTCATTGTCCTCTAAAGAAGTATTTCAAAACTAGAAAAGAAGAAAGAAACCAGCTAAGAAAAGTAGTGTAGCTCGGAATGTCATTAGCCAGTGATCTTATCAAGACTAAAAAAGGAAGCATAAAACATTTGTTGAATAGTATGAATTAAGTGTTATTAAATTAATCATTTAACTTTTACATTTTTGTATTGAATATTTTAAATTTTGTTTGTTATTTTTAATCAGTTTGTCTTGGCTTCGTTGATGACCAAGTCAAGAATTTTGGTTTCTTGTTCTAGAGCCAGGAATGCTTCTTTTAGGGCACGCTCAGATCTGGCAACTATGTCAAAGTCATTTCCATACCCCAGCAACTGGATCGTACTGTTGAACAAGGTGGCCCGTGTTTGGATCCTTGATCTGCGCACTGCTCACTCCACCACCAAATTAAAGAGAAGGCAGGCAAGGTCATCTCCCTGTCTCACACCGATTTTTGTGGCAATAGGTTCAGAGAGGTCAGATCCGATATAAACCACGCTGTTCGACCCCAACATGTTCATTGTCACCAGACGAATCAGCTTCCTGGGTATGCTCATTTCTTCAAGCGCCTGGTAGAGCTCAGGTCG